TTGGTGGGCCCCAAGCATGTGGTTCATTTGCTCTTCACTTCTGCTTTCCTCAGGAAATAAGTGCAGCAGCTAATCAGGTGATTAATAGTGGAAAGTTTAAAGAGCAGAGTGGGAGCTGCTGCATGCACCAAAATGCCTAGGAGGACAGAAGCAGTAATGCTCCCTTCTCTGGATGTGGTTATTGACTGCAACAGGAGCTGCCAAATCTAGGAGCCCAGGTATGTAAAGAGATCTGTTGTGAAAGAAAAAGGAACAGACTCTTAACTGTTGAAGGAAACTGCTGTATTATCTGCAACTGGTTTGTTGTAGTAGGATCATTTTCAAACAGAAAAGGTTTCAGTCAAAGTTGACCCTAAACTGCAGTACAAGGAGGAAAAAGGATCAGTGGTTTGCTTGTATCCTTTAATCTAGGGGTGGTAATAGGATTGCAGATGTAAGGGGAATATCTGTTGCTGCTGCTAGTGGAGACTTGTTGGATTTGGTTTAAATGCATATCCTTATCTAATGAGCTGTTGTGTTGAGATGATCAGGATTGCCCTGGTCTTGTTCCTTCGAGTTTGTTGCAACTATATTGTCTGTGAATCACCAGAAGCATTCTGTTTGCTCTTGAGATGGGGGCATTACTTCACCAAATCTCAAAAGCAAGTGCACCCCAAATCTCTGCTTCTCTCTTGGCTGCAGTAGGGGTATACACAAGTCAAAGAAACAGTTCCCAATTAGATATTTAGAAGCTACTTTTTAAAACAGAAAAAAAAAAAAAGAAGAGTGGATACATGAGGGAGAGCCTAAGTCAGTTTTATAGCTACTTTTGGATTGCATGGAGATGCTCTTCAAACAAAAATAAAGAGGAATGCAGTTAAGTGTTTGAAATAATGATTTGTGAGGTTGCACTGCAGAAATGCTTTGTCCAACTTAGATGTACTCAAAAAGTAAAAATATGCTTGGACAAATGAAGTCTGAGCGTAAATGAGTGCAACTCCTTTAGTAGTAAGAGTGTCACACCTTCTTGAAACAAGCTGAAACTGTATTTCTATTGCTGAAAAAATAGGGGCTGTGCCCTACTGAAATGGGACTTGTTCTTTGAACAGTATTCAACCTTCTCTAAGCTGACAAGTGTTTTAAAACCCCTCTGTTATTTGTATATTGTCAGCTATTTGCATTTCAAGACACCAGCCAGGTTAGGCTCATGTTGTATAAATTGCTGTGCCAGAACTTAGGAAGAAAGAATACCTTCCCCTTAGAATTTACAATTAAATGGACCTGGCAAGGATGGGTAGGATATTGAATTTTGCAACTTGTTTTAATTCGTTGCAGTCCTCGTATTGTTCTGCAATAAATAGAGTGACATCAAATTATAAATCTTCTTGGTGGTGTTTTTAGGTTTGCCTCATGTAATATGTCAAGTATGATCATTAGACATAGAACTGATAGGTGTAGATAATTTAGGAAAGGCAGAGGGAGCTCAGGGAGGAAGAACCAAGGTGATTAGGAGGGACAGAGGTAAGGGAGTAGTAGATGGACAGCATCTGGCACAGTGTTCATTCTGAGGTACTGTCATTTCCTGTGAGCACAGAGTGGTGTGAGCCACAAAGGGGGAGTTTGTGATTGAATTGGGAGAGAACTATAATTTGTGAGATAAGGTGGTTCATGAAGGAAATAAGCAATGCTTTCTACTGCTTGGGGTTGTTATGGCATCAGACAACTTTCCTGGGGAGGTAGTGGAATCCCTGTTTTTAGCATTTAAAATGATTGACTGGCATGACTGTTTAATGAACAGATTTATCTTGGCTGCCCAGGAAAGCAAAGGCATATGAAGAGGTATCACACAGTGGATTTTTGGAGTGCTGTAAGCCATGTGTCTCTGATAGTCACCAGAATCCTGGGTTTTAATAGTCAAGAAAAGGCTATTAGGAGAAGGGATAGTTAAAGCAGTTAGTCCTAGTACTAGGTGTCTGATATTGAGTCTAAGATGCCTCTTGTCATCTGGACAGTTGGAGTAAACAAGAAGGCAAATTGTAGTCCTCATTTTGCTTTCATGTACTTTTGGAGATTAAAGATTTCCATGTACACCCAAATATCTGATATTTTTTGCAGATACTTACCATAAAAAGTGGACCAAACTATGAAATTTGGCATGAGACTTGATTGTGTTTTGGTCACCCATCTTGCCGTGAGACCCTTCTCTGATAATAAATGATTTTAAATGTATAAGTAAACTTCTTGATCTTGGTACAAATTGGGATTTTGTAGCTGTACAGGATCATTCTTTGGACTGCTGGGGGAGTTAACCCCAGATAAATATAATTAAGATGTCATTTAAAAAATCATGCTTGTTCAGCCAGTAAAGTTCTAGTATCAGCATTCTGCCCGTGCTTCTGCCATCTTTGGTCAGGCCTTTCTTCCCTTTTGTCTTACCAGTCTGAAAAGGCGTAGCTGCAATGCAGTGTGGTTTCACACAAGCTTAATTTAGAACAAAAGGGAAAATACATGAATAAGTTCCACTTCCTCTCTGTTACCTCACACTACTTTCTGAATGATAGCATCAAGTTTATTTGATATATTTTCACTTTCATGTCTTTTAAAATCTTAATTATTTAGACTTTACTTTTTGTATCATTGTGATATTTATAACTTACTAAAACTGAAATAAGCCATTAATTTACACTGAGGATAAGGACAAATTGTGGGATGTAGAAGACAGCCAACATACAAGATCTTTTCAAAATACCTAAGCTATCCTTAATACCAATGGACCCTGTGATATTGTGATTGGTCTAGAAGAATAATTATCCTCCAAGAGGAACAGAAAACACAAAAGATTTAGAAGTCCGAATGAAACTGTAGACACAAGAAAAGGCAGAGTGAGTTACTTGTTACTTAGCATTGATTTAGGTTTAGCAGAGTAGCTTCCAAGGTGAGAGATTTCCCTTAGGAAGAGAATGGTGCCATTTGGGATGCAAAAGCAGCCTCACTGAAAAAGTAACTCTGAACTATGCTCACTGAAGCCCCTAGAACAGTACCCAGGCTTTCTCAACACACTGTACAGCTTCACAATGACTCAAGTGGGCCAAAATCCCATACTAGGGTTAAGTATAACATATGACAAATGTACCTCCCACACAGTCATGAGGAACAGAGTCTTCCTGTTTACTCTGTGCAGACAGTGATAACACTTCTTCTGCTCAGAGGGCTGTGTTGTCTTAGCACAGATAATTAAGGGAAACAACAGCAGTGAAACACAAAATGTTGTTGTTGATGTAGGAAGTTCCAGATTGACATCCTTGGAGACTGGTCAAAATTTTGTAGCCTTCTATCTCCTAGCAAAGGACAGAGTATGGGCTGTGGTAGAATAAGTTACCCTCTGCTGTAGTGTGAAGGATCAGCATTTAGATCCAAGCATAGGTATCTGCTGGGACCATCACCTTGCTGCAGGTGATGTGGTGCACAGTGACAAGATAATGTCACCCTCTTCATCTCTGCAGTATGGAGCTACTGCGTGAGTGTGGAAGTGAAACTGGTTCGTCTGGCTTGGAGGGGGTAGGATGCAAGCAGTAAGCAAGCTGTGTAACTGATGGATGGTGAAGGAAGAGAATCCCAAATCTAGTAGTAGTGTTGGCTCCTAATTGCTAAACTAGTCTCATAATAGTCTTTTTAAAAAAAATTATTTTAAGGGGTGTATGTATTGGTAGTGCACATCTAACTCAGTTTTTTAGTTATGTTTGCTTTTTGGCATTTTTATTGACAAGCTAGAATTGCAATCAAAGAGACACTGTAGAGAAGGAACCTGTTGCCTAGAAATGGAGGTACATTGGTGATTTTCTTTGAGGGGGTGTAATGATATGTTAAAGATTCTTCTAGGGTCTTAAAAGACAATATATTTGGTAAGTAAAGTAATGAGCTACGTTCATCTTGGTGACAACTCCCCAGCTGCCTACCCACACTATGATAATTTATGTGTCATATTTTGAGTAGTCAGACGATATCCTAGACACCAATAAGCATTTGGCTGATTTTAATGGAAACTGGAGAAGCCTGATTTCCATTGGTGTAAGCATTGTCATTATGTAGGCTCTGGGTAGCAGGGTGAGCTCACAGAAGGCTATGGCAAAGGAGTAGGGTTGCTGTGGATTCAAAGCTGTGTCAGTGACCTCCCAGAAGACTATGGATGAAAACAGGGCTGTAAAGTAGATGAGAGGACTTGGAGTTGAGATGAAGATACCAGAAGGATTCCTCTACCTATAGTGCAAGATGGACCCATTGTAAGTTTAATTTGATGGAAATAAGGCTGCTAGAATCACTTTGCTTCTTCATTGAGGCATATCCATTTCAGTTTACAGGATCAGCAAAACAGGTAATGTTGTAGTAAAAATACCTATCTCTTGTACAGAGCTGTACATCTGCGCTGAATGTTGCTGCGGGTTTGGGCCAGCACACCCATGTGGGGAATCCTTGGCTTTTCCACACAGCTCCTTTTCTAGCCAGTGCTTCAACCTCACTCTAGGTGAGGAATGCATCAGAAATGTGCAGCTTAGTTTAGCATCCATACTCAGTGAAATGTGTAATCTGGCTCATGGGTAGTGCTCTTCTGTTGCAGATCTGATGATGGTAATAGTTATGACTTGTTTTACAATTGGGGTGGCTGAAGTATAGGGAGAGGATCTGGCTCAGTGGCAAAGCTGGAGCTGGAATCCAGATTTCCTGCATGGTTTACCAGTTTGTCCTGCCAAAGCCCAGATGAGTTGTGTAGGACATGTACACGTGTCTCATGGGAGAGAGCTTGTTCATATGATTGCAGGGTGGTAATGCTCTTGTCCAGGAGCAGAGTGCTTTGCCATCAGGATTGGAAAAGAGTCAGTGGCTGCCAGCATTTCCATACTTCTAAACTCCCCAGCTCCAGTAGTTAAAACTGTCAGTGTCTAGTTTCATGGGACAGTTGACTGGTAAGAGATGATGCTAACTGTAAATCACACAGTATCTTTAACTTCAGGTCTCATTTTAGCATGGACAAAGCAGCTGAACTCACGTGGCAGTGGGAGGATTCACCTGGCAAAACAGAACAGCAAGAGCAAAGCCCTGATGATGGAGACAAAGCAGAAGTGCCAGGACAGCCTGCACACAGCAAGGACAAGCCACCCCAGAGCCATACCCTCCAGTGGGAGACTCTAGGCAGACAATTTGTAGAGTATGAGCAGGTGGCTCAATTTCTTATCCCAGAGGAGCAACAGAGAAGGCTGCTTGACTTTCTTCCCCCCTTCTTAAAGGTTTGTTCTCCTTGTTGCCTTTGATGAAGATGCCAAGGCTGTGAATTTGAGTTTCTGTTGCTCTGTGTGTTCTGTGGTCACCCTAACTGCCAGTGGAGTTAATTGGAATGTGATCCTTTTGTCTAGGTGATAATTACTTTTATTCTATTGGAAGCCCGGGGAAACAGTTGCTTGTCCTCCTTTCATCTAACTAACCTGCTATGTTAGCATGAGAAAAGTATCTGGGGGAGCACTGATTTACTTTCATGAATGGCTAAATTCTGTTCCTGGAGTCAAGGGATACGTTGATGAGACAGGCATGTTTCAGAGTACCCTGTGAAGTGGTCACTTCATGTCTGCCTCATCTATTTTATTACTTAGTGGGGGGCTGAGCACAGTTTCAGTCTGGGAAAATGTGGTTGTGGCATGCAGCCACCTAGGGGAAATGCAGGGGTACAGTGTTAAGAGGGAATTTGGGGCTTAATGACAGTGCTGATGTCTAATTTTAGTGCTTCAGAGAGGAGTTGTGTTATAGACAGGGAAACTGTGGCATGAGGAGAGGAAGGTCGCACTGTAGGTGAGGGACACAGCTGAGAATGAGAACATTTTAGCTAGCTGCCCTTGCCCATGCCCTAGACCTTCCATCAGCCAACTATTTCTGAGATGGCTATATTGAAAGGTGAAGCTGGAAGAGCTCTGTGATGAATAGGAGCCTTATGGGTTGGTTTTGTTTGCTGGAGTTTGTGAAATGTACAGGGAACTGTTTGAGTGGACCATATAGCAACAGAATGGCAGAGCTTATACTGAGAGGAGGAGAAAACCTGGCCTATCTTTAAATGTACTGTGGCCATGTTGTAGTACAGAAGAATTGTTTTTCTCTTGAATTACCTTGGGTATCTCTGGGTATTGAATCTGTGTTTTTACACTCTCACTATGTAAGTCTTTCAGAAAGAAAATAAAAGCTTGGTTTTGGTGAAACTATGTTTTAATGATATCGTATTTCAGCCACCTGTACTTGTGAGTTTTCAGTGTTCTTGAGTGACCAAACTCAGATCCATCTGTTCCCTACCTAGCTGAGTTGATTTTCTAATAAGTCGTCGGTGGGTAGGTGAGAAAAAAAATAATGTTAAAGACATGGTCACTCTGTTTATATGGAAGCATTGTGGGACATAAAAAGGGATACTCTGTAGTGAGAGGGACATTTTGAACTGCGTGTACAGGGAAATCACTGTGCTCAGGGCTATGAAATCTTTGGTGTCCATGACAGTAAAGCAGGATTAACTTCCAGATGGTCATAAACATTTCACTCAGCTAGACGGAGCATGAACCTGTGAAGCTTGTAAGTCCCGGTGCAGAGCAGGACTTTGAAACCACTGTAGATGTTGGTGTCAGTTATCAGCACTGAATTAGGTCACTCATTGGTGTTAGTGTGATGCAAACAATTGAGTTGCAGGTAGGATCTGGTGATGCCTATGGTGAAGAGTTTGCTGTGTTTAAGTACAAGCTTGCCCTGGTCCAAGGCAGTGCAGACAAAATGAATGGAAGGGTCTGAAAAGGCAGTGAGTGTATAGCCTGGAGTCTCAGAAGCAGCCTTCTCATTTAATCTAAATGGCCCTACAGATATTTTATGATTACTGAACAAAGCTTTGACTTTTCAACACTTCCTCTCAACTTCTGGATTTGTTTGCATTGAAGAGTCTCCCTCCTGAACCAAAGGCTATATTTGAGCAGAAGAGCTGTTTCTCTGCATATGTGGCTGTCACTGGAAACGTGTCACTCTCTCTCTGCATAGGGCACAACATGTGCTGGGGCAGGCTTGGCTCTCTTGGGAGCTCACCACAGCTTTATCAGGTCACAAAAATTCTGGCTTTGCAAAGGGGCAGCATTCCTTCCTCAGCCTTCAAAGAATGCTCTTCCAAGTCAGATCAGGATTGGTGATCTGACAGTTTTCTGTAGAGGAGCACCTTCTTATTCCATGGATCTGCTTTTTAAATGGTGTGCTGAAAATTGCACTGTTCTTTTTTTGAGACAGCACAGCAACAAGATACAACCTTTTTGCTTGGAGCAAGAGCTACCTATTCTGCTTTTCCTAGAGCTGTTTTCAGACCTCCTGTCTTCCTTCTTCTTGAAGCTCCATGGAAAACATACATCCATAATGTTTTGAGGGTATAAATTCATCACAACAAAGATAGGCTTTGCTGTGGAAGATAGCCTCTCCAAACTGCTCCCTCCCCCTCTTGTAAGCAATGTATTGCAGGCTTTTTGTGAAAATCTGCTGAGGTTTTCCTGCCTCAAATTTACAATGAAATTGAAATTCCCAGATCTCAAGGTTTCTGAGTTCTGTTGTGGCTTTAAATTTTGAATACCATATAGTGAACATGAAGAAAGCAAGTCTTGGTGAGAAGAGATTATGTAGAACAACTTCAGATTTGCTGATCATTAACAAAGTATGAATAGCAAGAATGCTTTCCATGTGAAGGTCATTTTTTTGGAGTGAAATTTTCAAAGGACTGAGGAAGTTGTTACTGAACAAAGATGATGAAAGCTATAAAGTCTAGAAGTCTGAGGAATTAAAAATTGGACAGCAAAGCAGGAAATTGCTTATTTATCATGACACATGAGAAATAAACTTTAGTACTGGTGGGTCAAAGGACAGCTATTCCACAGGAGGCAAGCTGAGTATGGCTAAGGAACTGGTCATGTTATGCATATGCACACCCACCATGTGTTTCCCTTCTGTAGGACTGAACTTCATATGCTTTAGGGTTGTAGAAAGTGATTTTCTGAATTACAATAATGCTTGCAAAGATGGAATTTTAAATTCCTAAAGGATATTTTGGCTACAGAATATATTCAGAATGGAGATGTGCATTTCTCATTAGCTTAACACTTGATTTTGTGCCCTAAGAGAGATTCTTCCCCTTCACTTTCCTTAGATGTATCTGTGGAGCTTTGCAGTTCTTTGTTGGCATTTAGGTTCAGATGTGTGGCTAGAGTATTTTGGCATTGCATCATTGATTGAGGAGTACATTGTAGAGGATCTGGCCTTTTAGCTTTGAGTCCTGATGTCCTTCCCCATGTGACTTTTACTCCCTTCACGTACCAGCCTTCTGCTTTGTACTAAGCCCCTGGGCTGGCTTGGGGAAACGCATGTCAGTTTGACTTGTACATGTTATGAAGTTCTTACAGAAACTACCTTGCTTCCTCCTGTTTAACAGCGGACTCTGCATAAATCTACTCTCTCCTTGGAGGTTTTTCATCTCTTGCTTTTCCTTTCCTTGTTTGATCAAGCAGATGCCAGTGCATCTCTGTCTTTTTGTCTTAGAGTGCTTTAGCTCTTACTCAGTTGGTTGGAGAGAGGGGGCACTAACCAGGAGCCACCTGGGGTGTGGAGACTCATTACTCACTGATATGCTTTGATGTAGAAGGAAAAGCTGTAGGAGGAAAATGTTAGCCATCTGCTTGTGATTCAGGCCTAGGCTGGGAGTAATTTTAATGTGCCCTCTGTATCTTCCCTCTTGGTGCCTCAGAAAGTATCAGAATGTTCTATTACATGTCTGGCTTTTGAGCTAGCATCTCTCCATGAAGCATGGAATAGGAAGGACAGATGGCAACATCAGACACAGGGAACTTGTGGCAGAACCTTAAACATGTAGAAACAGGCTTAAGAGGAAGAAAGAAAATCAGATTACATTGATACCATATTATCTGAGTTTCCCCTGAAGGCAGACATCCTGGAATGGAGTCAGTTTGATACTCTTCCAGATACAGATCTTTTATAGGCTCAAAGATGAATATGGAACTGATTAGGTCTGTTCTTAAAAGAGAATGTAGTCTAGAGATTGGTGTCTGACCCACGGGAAGATCACCTGTAAAATCACATCAGAACATTAGAGGCCTGGTCTGTAGTGAAATGGACTGGCTAAATATTTGCATAATGATAGCATTTCTATGAACCTTTGATTACTGCTCTCTGCTGCATATGGTCTGAACTTCTAAAATTTATCCTGCTCTTTCTATTAGCAGAAGAGTGAGTATAACAAGTCCTTTCTGAAGTGTTCAGAGGACGTTCCTCTCTGAGGCAGAGGGGCAGGAATCTATCACTACTTTCTTCTGAAAAAGGGTTTAACTTAATGACAACTATTGTGTATTCTTAAGTAGCTGTGGGCTTCTTGTCACTGTGTTTGCCCAGCTTGCTTCTGTTCTTTACAGGTCTTCCCTCACTTCTACATCAGAAGTAGAGAAGTTGGTGGCTCTTGCTCCTGCAGCTAAGGGTCTCTGAAAATCATTTATGGTCAAAATCTGAAAAAACTAGCTTGTTGTTTTAATATTGTTGATTGTTTGAAAATTAATTGATAAGCACACTGTGTGATTGCATGTCACACTTTTGTAGCCTAGAAAAAAGAGTTGGGTGCAGGTCCAGAGGTCAATGCAGTAAAATGAAGTAAAAAGTAGGTTCTTGCCTGATTGCCGACAGACAACTGGCAGTTTGTGGGGAAAGAAATAGCTTGTCCACAAGCTGCCATCAGCAAAGAAAGAACAAGTGATTGAAATCAATGGTAGGGAAGGAAATATGTTCATAGAGGATCTTCTTTCACAAAGAGTTGCACTGATTTTTTTGGCAGACTGTTATGGGGTGTCTGCTCCAAATTATTTTAGGAGAACAGGTGTCTTTTTTTTATCTTCCTTTCATCATCTGGTCTTACAGCTTGATTTTTCTGAGCTTTTAGAAGGGGGTAACTTTTCTAAAGAAAATTTTCAAGGTTACTGGGGACAGAAGTGTCACAGCCTGCTATTTAGAGGTGAACGCTGCACTATTGCTGTGTGTAGAGTTGAATGTTCTATATAAAAGTAATGGTACCTGATTCTTGGAGGCCAGTTGAGTGCAATAGTATTAGTCTAGTCTGGAATATTTTTTTATTGCTTTTGATTTTTTTTTTCCCCAAAGTCAAGGCTAAGAAACATTTGAGAGGGGATCTGTTTGTCAGACTCAGAGCAGGGAAACCTCAAGTCTTGCTGTTGTTACTCTTGTCAGTTTTGCATTCAATTGCTTGTCTATTCTTGAACAAGTAATTTACAAACTTACTTATAAATTGTTTATAAACTTGTCTATAAATTTGTTTTCCTTGGCTAGCTATGCATTTAGGACTATACTTTCCTATTTAGGGGTGCTTCTTATAGCATAGGAAATGTTTAGAAATCCTGATCTGGTAAACCCTTACTGTCATCATCTCAGCATTTTAAAAGTGCATCTTCTCCTATATTAGCACCGATCTGTACTCATGATGTAAGTTGTCTTGTAATGTTGTAAATTCCTAGCCAGACAGGGTTGTCAGTCCAGGCCTGGCAGCTTACATCTTAATCTCATATGCAGATGGGTTAGGCAAATCATATTGCTGCAAAACACATCCGGTGCCTTTTGGGCTAGAATATTGCTGGGTTTTTAGCTCCTTTTGCCATGTTTTCTTTTATTTCCTTAGTTTGCAACAAAGATTATTTCTGTCTGGCAAGAAATGCTGATTTAATGAGCCTTACTTTCCTCCCCAAATAGAGTAGAATTGAAAGGCAGAAACATTATGAATGTATTAAAACCACCACCACCAAAAACCACGCCCCCCCACTTCTCCCCCCCCCGAAGGCTTTTGCTTGTTTGTTCATTCTGTGATTTTTATAAATTTATTGACTTGAAATAAATACTTCGGTTTCAGGTGAATCTTGGCCAGTATACTGCTACTTGGGAGCAGTAGTCCTGTATTAGCATGATTTCTTCTTGACAGATCTGCTACAAATCCTCCATGAGAGCAGCAGTTCCAATCCCATTTCAGTCTCTAAGCAGCTGAGACTGTGCAATGACTGGCTGAACAGAGAAAATACAATTTTTATTTTTATTTTTTATTCAACTGAAAATCAGGTTTTGTTTATGACGATAGTTTTGGGGAGACCAGTTTTTGGAGAAGGATTTACTTTTACTGAAAAATTCTTAGGCAACTGTAGCTGTAACTTCTTCAGGGTACAGGGTGTTTATATTGTTTTTCGAAAGGGACTAGCATGCTTTTTGATACAAATAATTAGTGACACAGGGGCTATGACAAACATTTACATTGTTTTCATTGTATTCAATGGAGAAAATAATGTAAATGCTCCTTAGTAGGTGCTTTACGTGATTCTAAAGCTAGTTCCAGGTTGAATTCTGTATCTGTAGTGTCAGGCTCTTGCCTGCCTGGCAAATACTGCTTAATGGACTATACTGGCTGGGGAGGGAATCTTGCAGGGGAATGTTAGCTTTATGTTTTTTTATTTATATGTATTAGTACTTGTCAATCTACCAAAGACCTGCTGTATCAGAAAGACTTAACATGTTGTTACACTTGGATTTCAGGCCTGGGAACAGTCTGCTGGAGCAATTGTATTCCCCAACATTCAGCTGTTAGCCAGTGAGGTTTCCAAGCTTCTGACAAAAGAAATTAAGAGGAATCTCAATGGCAAACCTGCAGGTAATGATCCCATACTATATCCACTGGATCCACTTATTCTGGATACGTGCTGTCATTCAGCTTGTCCTCTGTGCTTACCATGAGGGAAATGAAGGGGGAGCAGGAAAGTGCTAAGTGTAGCAAGCCAGATCTTTTAGTAGGTGTGAGCTAGCACTGGTTTTGGATGATTGCACTGAAGATCTGGCCTTGTATGCTGTGCTGACCTTGTTTTTGGAACTTTCATAGCTAGAAATGTGTAATACTGCAGCTATGCAGTAAAAGAGTAGGCTACACACTATTTCTCGGAGCTTTCTTTAATGAGAAGAGTTGCTAGCTATGCATGGCTTTCCTGGTGGCTGTTGTACATTCTTCTCACTGGTCAGCTGGCAGACTTCATGAACTGAGCTGGTATTCCCAGTGAAGCTTGTCAGTTTGAAACATGTAGTTTACATGAACTGACCTGAGCCTGATGCTGGATCAAAATCCTTTTATGTCCTTCTATTCACTTCAGTGGACTCCTGGAGGTACTGTAATTTTGTTAAATTTGTCAGCTCTGTTAAGAAAGGATCAATGCAGCATTTCCATCTTTCATTAAGAAATTAAAGTTTAATGTTTTTGTGGTAACAGAGGAAGCTCGTCTGGCTTTGGAGCAATTGCTACAACAGAAAGGGGAAGCAGAAAATGGCCGTTTGCTCCTGAAATCAGTGTATGTGCTCTCACAGACTGACTTGGTAAGAGAAATGACTACAAAGTGGTTTGGGTTTTTTTTTTGTCTGTTTTGTCTTTTTTTGGTTTTTTTTTCCTTTTTATTTCAGAGAAGCTGGGTAGCCACCCCAACAGTGGAACACCTAAGTCTCATGAAGTTTGCGTTATCCCCAACGCTTTGTGCTTCAGCATACTCAGAGTATACAGTCACATAGAGGACACACCACCAGGTTTATAGTCCAGGCTTTTCTAAAGAGGGAAGTAAGCCTTTGTGCTTTCAGATACCCTTTTTGTTTTGATCATCAGGCAGCTGTTTTTTCTAGTGTTCCTCTGATTTATCTCTTTTTTTTTTTTCCCCATTGTGTATCACTGCTCTTCAACCTTTGTTGCTCCAGCTTGCATATCAAAAAGATGACTAGTAAGGATCTGTCTGTCTGGTAATGCAGTTGTTGGATTTTCCATACTGATAGCCTCTCATTTTGAAGCGTTTCAAAGCATTTCGCAAACTCTACTTGTACAACCATCCCGAATGCAGACTGGCATCAGCAGTACAGCCTGCTGATGGGCATCAGGGCTGTGTTTATCCCTGACATTGAGCTGAGCAGTTTGTCTCATCCTTATTCAGATACATGAAAATAAAATCTTACTGTCAGCTTCTAGTGGGCATGTTCTGTGTCATAAGGAGCTCTGTAAAATTATATATAGTTAGTCACAGCATGAAGTTCCTGATGAGGTTTGTGTTTTTCACAGATTTAAGACATTGCTATTTTTTGTAGCACACACACTCACAAAACTTCATATCACAAACCTCACTCTTCTGTTTAATTTGCTGCTGATTTTTGGTTTGATTATTGTGTGCCAAGCAGGCACACTGGGACTTCTCTAAGTTGTACACAGCCGTAGTGAAGATGGAAAGGAACTAAGTGTTGAGAAACATTGTGGAGAAACAGTGTCTCTTGCATTTATAAAAGCTATAATTAGAAGTGTGTGTGCAGTTATCTAATGTGTTACAAAAGCAAAGGCATTATCGTTAAATTGCTGCTATGCTGGCTTAAGGAGGGAATGGAGAATTTATGCTTTTAACATACCAGGTCTCTATAGCTGCAGGGTGTCCTGTGAACTAATGATAAAGGGGGCTCTGTCTGCCCCTGGACTTAATTTTAGGTGCTAGTTAGTTTGCAGTTTGTGTGCTTTATCGACTATAGGTCTCCTTATGCAGGACATAGTAAGTATCTCTGTCAAAGCTGTTGTTCAGCTGGAGTGAGAAGTCTGGGAACAGCTACAGCAACACACTGTCAGTGTGTTTACTTCTGCGAAGTGGATTTGTACAGCCATGCTGTATAATTGCCATGCTTGTGTGCCCTAGAACACTTGTAAGGATTGGCTCTTTCATCTGCCATGACTACACTCAGTGTGTAGAAACACAAGGAGACTGTGGTCACCTTCTGGAGAGGCTGATTTTTATATTCCTTACTTAGAGGACTATGTGGAACATCATTGGATCTGGCCTTCCAGCTGCTCTGATGCAGTGCCTGTACCTTTTCTTTACTTTTCCTCTGAAGAAAACCAGTGATGATGGAGAGGCAAGTGAGGATGACACCCAAACTCAGGAAATGCTTGTTAAGGTGAGATGTGCTTCTGGGAGTTCATTTGCCCTGAGTATTCACATGTTCACTTAGGCTTTTAGCTGGTGATTGATTCAAACTGCCAAAAAAAGGAGTAAATATGGACTGAAAACCATTGAACAAGCATCAGGAGCAGTATAAAACAATCTGAGATGATGCCACTATTCTCTTTTTTGTTGTTGTTGTTGAACAAAACAACATGACTTTGTAAGTAGGAAAAAATCCTTTAAGACTATCCTAGTGGTATTTTTACTTGTTCATTTCTCTCCATCCTTTCTCCTGGCATTAGTATCAAACTGTAACACCCCTCCCCCTCCCCCTCCCCCAGTGGATTTTTCTTCATCTCCCAGATATTTGTAGAGGTCATTATTGTAGCTGATGTTTGTTTCCTTTTCAGATAATGCTTAACATGTACAGAGAGGAACAAGGTGTAGAGGAACTTCTGGCAGCTGATAAGCTTCAGTCATTAATCATAGCAACTGCTTCCCTCTGGGACCAGTGTAGCCACTCGTGGAAAGTACCTACAGGCCGTGTGCTGAGAACAATTTCAAAGGCTCAGACCAAAACCAGCATTGTGTACCTGCAAGGTTTGGTTTAGTAATTTGGTTTCTCCTTTCCTCATGGCTCCACTGAGAATGAATTCTCAAGACAAGTGTCCCTAGGATAGATTTTTATCTCTACATCATCTGGTAGTCAGTCAACTGCAAAACATGGGCTCTTGGCTTTCTAGACAGGAGATTTATTTAGTTCTGATAGCTATCTGGAAACTGAAGTTTTTTCTACACAAGAAATAATATTACAGGCAAGAGCCAATCCCATCTGATCACATTAATGTAGGCTAAGACAAGGTGTATTAAGGGTTTTTTTGAGTTGTGTGACTCAATGTGTGAGCCTAAGGCTCATGCACACTCTAAAAACAAGGTTGAGGGCACTGCCAGAGGAACAGTATCTTTTGGGACAACATCATTTCTTCCTAGGCTTTGTTAGAGTAACCAATTTTTTTGTTATTAAGAAAACATGAGTCTCAATTTCTTAGAAGGAAAAAAAAAGTTTTGGAATCCACACTTTACTGTCAGTATTCCTTATCATGGAGTAACCGCATATAGGTATTTTTATTTTTTAAAATAAAAATTTGGCTTCCTGGGTGAGAATGAAAGACTGAGGACTAATAGTTCTAAGAGTAGCGAACTGTTTGGACGTTTTGAAGCTGTCCTGGAAGGACTGGCCATCAGATTAGACAAGAGAACTAGGCTTCATTGCTGTGTATGTATATACCCCATTACAAATGCCTCATTGAGCAAAGAATTAATCTGTGAATGCTGCAGACTGTGTGATTGACTTAGTACAAGACAATTAAATATGTCAGCCTCCACTTACTTTGTACTCAGACAGCTGGATTCACTTTATGTGAATTTTGGTGAGTGGGTGGGTTGGAAGTTTATACTTCTGACACTGAATCAGCTTCTGGGGTTTAAGCAAAGAAATGCATGCATACTTTAAAACCAGTAATGTTCTTCATGTAGCCTCTGAGATGAGTGGTGATGTTCATATACCCTCTTTTTTCTTTCTAGAAAAAGAGTTAACTGACTCTTATTTTGCTAGGAAAGAACTTTTCGAACTTGTTCCATTTTTGTTAGTAACTTTGAACTTGTTTGACCGTCAGTTCTTAAATACCTGCTACATTTTTATTCCCACAGCTGTGGACTGCATTAAAATAGCTATTCAGAATCTCTTTAAACTGGCTGATACCCTACCTGCTTGTGATGTGTGTGAAGCTGCTAGTATTGTCTTGTGCTTTGTGAAAGATTCCTATCCCATATCATCAGCTTTATTAACAGAGTTTGAAGATAATGATGGCTACCAACTCCTGCTAAAAATTTTACTCAGGTAAGTAGAGAGGTTTTTAGTGGGCTTCTAGAGCATAGTAAAACTTTATTTTCAGAATGCATAGTGGTCTGTTTTAAAACATGTAGGTAATCCTGCATGGATGCAAAGCCAGTAATAAAGACCCTGATATGGGGTCTTTCACTGCTATTTTACAAAGGGAAGCAGCACCTAACTTCTACTGAAACCATAATGGAAATGAATGGTAGGAGAAGTTAGTCTACAGGTGGGATAGGGACTTACCAAACACAAGACAAAGATTCTTCATCAATTAGTATTAGAGGGGATGTAGATCAAAGATATCTGTCTCAGTTAAGGTTAACTCTTGATCCAGGAATGCAATCAGCAAGGGAGGGAAACCTGATCTCCTTGCTGTGCAGAAAATAAACAAACCAACCCACCCAAACTTATACCTGAAATGGTGATGTTCTTCAGAACTGAGATGAATATGAACATATCGGGACAAATCCCCACTAGTTATCCTAATCAAAAATACAAAGTAGAATCTTTGACTCTCCTTGTCTCCTTGCATTGTCTAACCAGGCTCTGAGTTTGCTATGTCAAAACAGTACATTTTACCACTTCCCAAGAAGTACTTAGGAGCTTTGTTCTGGTTTTCTTTAATATCATATGAAGAGAGCATTTCCAGATCTTCTCAATCTATTGTTGTTTCCATTCTGACTTTGCCTTCTCTTGTACTTCTCCAACACTTGCAAGAACTTTGGTCCCTGACCAATACGTTAGACTGAGAGGGGGTATTTTGTAATTTGGATCTAGAAGATTGTAATTTGAATCATGAACCAAAAGATATCTGTAAGTGAGTATTTCTGATGATTTTTGGGTGGCACAAAATTATTAACCTACAGTTGGAGAAAGTTTTGTCTGTTTTCTAGCAGTGTTTTCTTTAGTTACCATAGATTATCTAGCTTTCCCTTATAAATAAGCTGTGTTGAGATGTATATTTCTGATGAAATTCTATCCCTATAAGGACAGAAACACCTGATCTTTATCAGTAGAGGCTATGACTGCCCCCATCCTTTTTAACTGATGTAACTAGGCTGGAGAGACAGGAATAGCATACAGGTGCTCAGGGCCTCAGATTAGTCTCCCTTCCCAGAGTATACTGGCAGAAAGGGATAGACAGAGAGCAGCTTTCCTGAATGTTTTGTGTGACCAGGTTTCCTCTCCTCTGATGTTTGGAGTTTCTTTTTCAGGTAAAAAGAATCTTGCTAATCACATTCTTTCCTGCTGAAATGAATACTAGCATTTGCCTGTCCTCCCCCCGCCCCCCCCCTCCCCCCCCCCCCCTTTTTTTTTTCAGATTAAACCAGAACATATTTGTTTCGGTTTTCTTCTGAGATTTTCCTAACTTCCAGTATCACTCTATTGCTCTGTTGCTAACCCATGCCCAGATGCTGCAGTTTTCCTTGAGAATTGACCCTTCTAAGCAGTAGAGAACAGGATAACATGATAAGCAGCTCTCTGCCCTTTGACAGACTCTCACTTCAGTCTAAACTATGGCAAATCTGGAGTTACAGTTCAAACTATTTCCTTACGTAAGAGAGACATGCCATCTTCATGTCTGATTCACAAAGCTCAGGCAATACAATATTTTTCCTTTCCTAAGGGCTGAGATTTTTTTCTGTTATTTATCTCAGCGAGTGCCTTACCTTGCCAACCATATGCCTACCTTTCAATGTGAAGTGTCTGTTTTAAGTTTTGTGAGAGTTCAAAAAATTAAATTTTTACTCCCCAAAACAGGCATTCTTTTGGAGAGAATTACTTTTTTTTTTTTAAAGTACACATAACTGGATGAAATTCCAACATTTATCTTCCTTTTCTTCAGAAGAATCTTACAGTGTCACTTCAGTTTTCTTCTTCTTCAGTTTGTAAGTTTTGTTCTGATTCAGAAGGTGCCACCATGATGTGGAGTTACTGTTTGTAAGATGGTTAAACAAGTCACAGAAATAAGACAAAAAGACAGTAAAATAGGCTGGGGAAGAGCAGGGAGTAAAATGGGTAGCTCCTATGTGCTCAGTACCTGGTGATATATCCAAAATATTTGTATTACTAAGGCATGAATATGTGACTGTCCCAAGTTTTGTTCCTAGATGTGAGGGCTTGCAGCAAAATGAAGGAGACCCCTATCTGGATGAGATCTTGGACATGCTGACTTGTCTTACAACCTGTGGAAAAACTGAACTGAAAGTTTCTGGCAATATTGTACACCCACAATTACCACACTTCGATTTCGAACGGACACGGTCTTCTGGTACAGTATATATATGTGGCTACATAGGCAGGTCATAGAAAAAATGAAGGTCTATTCATTACATGTCTTAAGATGGGGGAAGGAGTATGAAATGGCGTCTTCTGATCTATGTGCTTAATGCTGCAGGAGCCTTAATGCTACCTACACCAAACTGAACTGACTATGTCAGCTGTAGGGTCTGATCCAAGGTTGAGAACGTACCTTCCAATCACATCCATTGTGTCTGTGACTCCTATTTCCACTCTCAGACATGACTTAACATTATAGTTATGGTGCTTGCAGTCTTAAATAGCATTGATGTAAAAGTGATCTCACCTGGTTTTATCCTACAGGAATGACAGTGAAAAACCTCCAGGCTTTTCAGGTGTTGCAGTCCATTTTCCAGAAAAGTAATGATCAGTACCTGTGCGGAAGAGTCTTGGCAGCAATTGGTACCATATGGGCCTGGGACACAGTAAACTTCTTTCTTCTGGAATGGACACTACAACCTATCAACCAGTTTACTGACATAATCCATTTCAAACCACACCCAGTCCAAGTCCAGTTCTTCAGACTGGTGGAGTCCATAGTGCTAGACCTCTCCTATGTCCCTCATGAAATTTTGAAGAAGGTTCAGTATTTGATAAAGGAAAACATAGCACCATTCTGCACATTAACAGCTCTTCGGTGCCTTCTCAACATGACCAGGAAGGACCTGTTATTCAGTGACATATTCCGTGACTCTGGGCTCTTAGGCCTACTGCTGGCACTTTTGAGGAAGCAAGCCAAGATCCTAAGGAAGTCAGGTACAAATTAATGTCATTCATAATGACTGCTGAAGTAGGCAGATCAACAGGAATGAATTAATCTCTTTCTACAGTCAATTTATAAATTTTATATACTGAGTAGCTAGATTTTGTCTGTAAGCCAACTGGCTTAAGTTTATGACATACTAAGTTGAGTCCTCCCTGAAATCTTAGCTGTTTATCATCCTATTCACTAGCATAAACAGTTCTGGGCTATTCTTCACCAGTGTACAATGAATTATTCTGGAGGGTATCATTCAGCCCACACTTTTAAACAGGTCTCAATTTGGGGTTCTCTAGGATGCCAGCTTGAGACTAGAGGGAGAAAGAGTTTTCTGCAGTGCTTAGTTCCTCTGAAAATAACACTTAATCCTGAGGACTGATGATGGAAAGCAGTTTCTTGAATTTTGGCCATATATTACCCACAATTACTACCACCTATTGTCATCTATAGTTATGTCCTATTATGAAAACAAAAAGATAATAGTCCTGGTTTGGTAATTGTGGGGTACAGCCGACTTAGGGGACAGACTCACATATTTAGAAGTTTATAACTGCTATTTTAAAGAAAGAAAAATGCATTATAACGTCTTCTGTGCTGTATGATTTGGGAAATGCCTTTAAATTTCAGTGCAATAGTTGTTTAATAAAGGAGGAGGGACCCAAAGAACTAGGTATAACTTCTGATGCAGCAAGCACAATTGAATTATTTGTACACATTTATTCCAAGCAACAGAAGGAACATGAATTGCAACATTAGTTCCAGAGTGCAGACATCCATTACCTGCAAGGACACTTAGATATGCATTCTTGATGTCAGAGAACTAGAGTTCTATACAAGAGTACTTTTTATAGAATGAGTGATTGAATGGCTGTGTAATTTGTAAATTTAGACACACAGATGAAGAGGGACAGGTGGGAAGACACTGTCTGAAGTGATCACTACTTCCCTCTTCTGGTTTCCAGAAATTTAGCCTGCAAACTTCAAGAATTTTAGATCTAAAAATAACCTACCTGACACTGTCTGATCTTGGAAATGTTTGCCTTTGAACATGCAGGGGGTTTCTACTCTTCACTTTTAGTTTAGGTATTTAAGTACTCCCTGTTGCTGTAATATTTTACCACTTTATAGCTCATAATCTGTAATGTTCTTTTATCTGTGTGTATTCCTACCAGGTATCACTAAACAGGTAACTCTACATCAGTTGGGAAGTGGAAACACCACTATTACCAGTATTGCCTATAGTTATACAGGAGATCTGGGCTGCAGAGCATAGAATCAGACCTGTGTTTCCCAGTCCCAGACTAGACCCTGATGACTAGGCAATGCCCTGTCTGTATTTTGTTGCTCATTTTGGGGTTCAAGTACCTTGTAAGTAATATTTAAGAGAAAACTGGAATTTGCTGGAGAACTAGTTTTCCTTTTTGGTTTAATATATTTTAGCTACAGTTAACCATGTCTTATATAAATTGTATTATGACTTTTAATATACTGACAGCTGGAACCCATCTGCCTGGTCTGGAAGAAGGCACTGAGAAGGAATTAAATGCTGTAATGCTGAAGATGGTGGCTGCCCTTACAGTGAGGTCTGTGAGGAACACTGGTAAGAAATGACATATGACTGCATTACCTTTGTGATATTTGGTGGTAAGTGGCCATGATGCCTCTTAAGGAGCACCAACAAATCTTCCGACTTTTGTGCTTCAGTGAGAAGTGGAGGACAAAAGCTAGAAGTGTAGGGATAACAGTGTCACACCAGGAAGAAATGTGGCAAAGATATTATCATTCTGCATAATGAGCCTTATCCCAGTAGTCACCCTGTTTCCCTCATCCATGTGGATACTCCTGAAGTGTTTACATAGAAAACACAAACTTACCTTGTGGAAAACAAGACTGTGTGTGTAAGTTTTGTGTATTGTTTGTTCATCCAGATTTTCTTCCATGGTATCTATTACTTGAAATCTTGATGGGATCAGATGCATGCTGAGTAACTAACACTCTGTTGTGGTTTAAGCCCAGCCGGTAGAAGCTGCTCACTCATTCCCCCCAGCCCTCCCAGCCCTGGTGTGATGAGGAGGAGAAAATATAAAGAAATGCTTGTGAGTTGAGATAAGGACAGGGAGGGATCACTCACCACTTACGGTCACAGGCAAAAGGCAGGCTCAACTTGGGGAAAAAACAAAATCAATTTAATTTACTACAAATCAAATCAAAATAAGGATAATGAGAAGTAAAACTCAAATCTTAAAAGACCTTCCCCCCAACCCTCCAGTGGCTCAACTCCACTCCTGGTTTTCTCTACCTCCTCCCCCCGGGATGGGAGTTATGGTCAGGTCAGTTCATCACACGTTGTCTCTGCCGCTCCTTCCTCCTCAGGGGGAGGAGTCCTCACTCTTCCCCTGCTACAGCGTGGGGTCCCTCCCACAGGAGACAGTCCTTCATAAACTTCTCCAACATGGGTCCTTTCTGTGGGCTGATTTTCAGTCACAGGCTGCTCCAGCGCGGGTTTTCCCGTAGAGTCCTGGTCATCTTTGGGGGCATCCACCTGCTCCAGCATGGGCTCATCCCCAGGCTGCAGGTGGGCATCTGCTCCCCCACTCACCTCCATGGGCGTTGGGGGACAACCTGCCATCTCACCACAGGCTGCAGGGGCATCACCTCCTCCAGCGCACCTCCTCCCCCTCCTTCTTCACTGACCTTGCTGTCTGCAGAGGTGTTTCTTTCACATTCCAATCTCCTACCCCTTTGCAGGTTCCCCTTCTTAACTCTGTTCTCCCAGAGGCGCTACCACCGTCACTGATGGGCTTGGCCTTGGCCAGAGGCGGGTCCGACTTGAAGCCCGGGAAGCTTCTAGCAGCTTCTCACAGGAGCCACCCCTGTAGCCCTTCCCCTGCTACCAAAACCCCACCACACAAACCCAAAACACACTCATACATTTAGTATTGGTGTACCTAAAAGGTGTATGTGTGGGGAATCTTGTGGAACATAGTAATATAGAAGTTAACTCTTCTGAATACTGGAATCCATGTTTGCAGCATCTTACACAGCACAAATATATTGTCACAAACTATCAAACAGTCCCCTTCATAAACTAAAGAGATGTTTAAGCTGAAAACTAATAAGGTGTCTTTTCATTCATTATTGTATTGGAAAGCAGGCTTGAGAGATGGGCCTGTGCAAACCTCATGAAGTTCAACAAGGCCAAGTGCAAGGTCCTGCACATGGGTCAGGGCAATCCCAAGTGCACATACAGCCTGGGCAGAGAATGGGTTGAGAGCAGCCCAGAGGAGAAGGACTTGGGGGTGTTGGTTGATGAGAAGCTCAACATGACCTGGCAATGTGCATTTGCAGCCCAGAAAGCCAATCGTATCCTGGGCTGCATCAAAAAAAGTGTGACCAGCAGGTTGAGGGATGTGATTCTCCCCCTCTACTCCACTCTTGTGAGACCCCACCTGGAGTACTGTGTTCAGCTCTGGGGCCCCCAACATAAGAAGGGCGTGGACCTGTTGGAGCAAGTCCAGAAGAGGGCCATGAAGATGATCAAGGGGCTGGAGCACCTTTCCTATGAAGACAGGCTGAGAGAGTTGGGGTTCTTCAGCCCGGAGAAGAGAAGGCTTGGGGAGACCTTATAATGGCTTTCCACTATCTAAAGGGGGCCTACAGGAAAGCTGGAGAGGTATTTTTTACAAGGGCATGTAGTGATAAGACAAGGGGTGATGGCTTTGAACTGAAAGAGGGTAGATTTAGATTAGAGGTAAGGAAGAAATTCTTCACTGTGAGGGTGGTGAGGCACTGGAACAGGTTGCCCAGAGAAGTTGCAGATGCCCCATCCCTGGAAGTGTTCAAGGCCAGGTTGGATGGGGCTTTGAGCAACCTGGTTTAGTGGAAGGTGTCCCTGCCCATGGCAGGGGGGTTGGAACTAGATGATCTTTAAGGTCCCTTCCAACCCAAACCATTCTATGATTCTGTGATTAGAAACCATCGTCATCCAGTCATTTTATCCCTACTTGTTCTTGTGCCACTCAGTTTGTGTTGTCTGTAGCTTAAACAGCTCTTCTTGCCTCTCCTGCTATATTTGTAGAAACGCGGCACTTCATACCAACACTGAAAATCTGCCTGTGAAAACTACAAGTAAAGCATAGTTTAAGTAACAAATGATACCGTATTTGTCCCCAGTTGTTCTGAAGGACTATGGAATGGTGCCATATATCAAGATATTTTTGGATGATGAGTGCTACAGGAGTGCTACTCTCAGCATCTTGGAGCAGCTATCAGTCATCAATTATGAAGAATATATGAGCATTATCATTGGGGCCCTCTGTTCTTCTACTCAAGGGGAACTACATCTGAAACTTGATCTGCTGAAGGTAATTAATGTGGCTTCCCACTTGGTTGTTGTTTTCTTGGAAACTGCTTGGTTTGTGGCAAATTGCTCTTAATCTCACCCCTAGCACTGTATTTTTCCAAGAAGGTAAGTGCAGAAGAAAAAAGAGCCATGGGCCAGTTTTTGATTCTGATAAATTGGGCACTTTGATTTTTAGTGATGTGTCTGTGGTCAACACCTTCACCCAGTATCAGATTGTGAAGTAATTTGAAGACTTAAATAGTAATGCAGAATGGAGAAATGGAAATGGCAAAGGTCACAGTTGTATGAGCAGTTCTATGTAACGTGACAGAGAAAGGAGAGACAAATGTGAATGAAAGTGGAGGAGATGTGGAGGGAGGATATGAGAAGAGGTAAAGGAGTAAGATTGGAAGGGGCAGGGTAGGCATGAGATAAACAGCTTGATTCTGATAATTTTCTGAGGTTGAAACTTTGCTGTCCTTAATTTTGTCACCTCTCACATACACTAGTGTCATGGAAAGAGATGTGAGATGATGGAAAGAAGGAATCTTATGAAAGTTTGGAGGAAGGAACTAGAACTATTCATACCCTCTATTGTGTTTATAGAGGGTCTGATCCATAAGCAATGAAGCAGGGGAAAGAATCAGTGTGCTTTGTTTTGGTTTAGATCATAGGCATCAAATTGAAAAGCAGCAGTGTTGTAAGCAGTTTCATTCTACCTTCTCTACCAAGTGTGAACTGAATTCACCTTTCAGCACAATATAGCAGCTGCTTCTGTGATAAAAGAACCATGTTACTTTAGGAAAACAAAAACGTGACAAAGTTTATAGCTTTGATATGAAACAGTAAACTCTAACAATATTTGTGGAAAAGTTGAGTACAGTGTCCAATCTAATATGAAAATAAATGCAGCTGCAGTGTCTAATTTTGACAAATGATAACTGTATTAAAGCATAATGCAAGCAAATGAATTTATTATCTACACCCATTGGGACCGTGATTGTGTTACACAAAAATTCAGATTGATTTGCTAATATATATTTAGCTGTTAAAGCCTAAGCCCAAATGCAATTAGCACTGCCGTATTCCATCGTGGCACGTGGACAATTATGACGAATAACAAATAATGGAATGTGAAATAAATTCTGTTAACATTAACTGGGTTAGGGGGTTTCCAGCAGACATCAGTTTTATAGATTCAAGACAGAGGAATACTAACTCATAGGTGATTAAATTCTAACTGAGTTAGAGCTGGAGGAAATGTAGTTACTGTTGACCTTCTCTGAAATGTGTTAAAGCCATCCTGATAACTTCAACTCTGAGTTATTAAATTCACTCCCTGTTCAGAAGTCTCTGCCTGGTTTGATACATTATCATACAAAATTGAATGACAGTAATAGAGTTCTCCCTCCCCCTCCAGTTCTGGCAACCATTTCTCACAGTCCTAGATCCTGTTACAGGGAGATATATTTATGTTAGAAACTGTTCCTCTTCAGCAGGTTGTGAAGTGAACCTCTTTCATTGGATATCTGTTGGGAAACTTTGTATGTAAAATTAGCCCCTTCCAATGTGAAAAGGTACAGCCTCAAATTTGAAAGGTCCCTGGTGCCTGAAAGAGCATCATATTTACAAAATGAATTGTGCAACATACCAAAAACCTGGGATGGATTACATTCAAATACAGTAGACTGTTTCCTTACAATCTCTTCTTTCTCAGTAATGTTACTTCCACCACTACAACTCTTAATAACTTTTCTAGATTTGTTTTAAAATGGCAAGCTCATAGCATTCAAAATTTACAAGTGGTATAGGTTGGTTTTCACGCATGGTAACATTGTCAAATGGCATTCACTTACAACCTGCTTTAAGCCCATTGAAATTAGAGAAAATCTAATCACTTAATTATCTTGGGATCTGACTCTTTATGGTTTTTTTCCTCCAAAGTGTTGTGCAAACTTTAAAAATGCCTCTGCTGAGAAACGGAATTATTACTGCCTTTATTAATGAGGAGAGCCTGCTGCTTGCAGTGTTCTTTTGGCCATCCTGTGTCACTGCCTTTTTGGAAAGGGTCTGCTCAGTCATATGAGCAAAAGTCCTGTGTGGCTTCTCATGTGTATTCAGGGCTGTAGGAAGACTTGCCTATAGAGAGCTGTGCTGCCTTCTCAGTTACTAAATGAGGTTATTTACAATTGAATCTCTGCTTTTATTTATTTAAGGCAAAGGCAGATTTCTTGAGAGAGTCTGAGGAGACTGGTGAAAGAACAGCCAAAGGTCTGAAACTACCTCTGGCCAGACTGACTAGGATGTGTAATGCAGGAAATTTGATTTCTTCGCTTATTCCTGTGAGCTCTATTCTCTACCTGTCAGGCTGACTGCATGGGTTGCTCCAGAGGGTGCATTCAAATCTTGGTTGTTTGACTCATTGGGTATATGGGGGAAGGGAGGAGGAGAAAAGTTGTGCAGTGGTGACCTTTACTTTGACCAACTTTTTTTTTTTTTTTTGGTCAAAGAGTGAAATTTTGGTGAAAGAATTTTGGTACAAACTTGGCATTTTAAAATATTCTGAAGCTTCTTTGTCCCTTGGTTTAAGTGCTTCTTTTGGCTCCTTTCTTCCCAATGTTTGTAGTCACTCCTAAGGATACTGGAGAGTCGCAAGAGCCATTCAGCTTTCAGAACCTGCAGTGGATTCAATGGACTCTTGTCCCTTCTCTCAGATATGGAAGGTGCATTGCAGGACCCTCCATCTGGGCTGTGGACAGCAGTTGGGCAGAATTGCATATTGGAGCTTGTTTTCTACACACTTCAGGGGATATCAGCAGCCCTGCACCTGGACCCTGCCAACAGCTACTTCTTCCAGAGGAATGGTCTCTTTGAAAAGATGGCAGAGGATCTCGGGTCACTTGGATGCTTCTGGACACAAGGGGAATGGCAAATCCCTGTGACCCTTGAGAAGACAAGGACCTTTGCAGAATTCTTGGATGCAGCTTTCTGTTCTTCAGAACCTTTCCCAATGTGGCTAAAGAACTGCATATGGATTCTGAATTTTCTTGATCACATGGTCAAAGGAACCCTCCATCTGAAGAGCTACTTCAAGGAGAGAAAGCCAGAGATGGGAGAGGGAGAGGCATCAAGAGATGATCAGGAGGGACCCCAAGCTCAAGAAGAGCATCCTGCTGTTTTCAAAAGACCAGGCAACAAATTACGTGCCTCTGCCTACAGGCAATGGGGAAACCCTGAAGAGAAGTAAGTCTTTATTTACTACAGGAAATAGAACAGTAAGACTGGTATCTCCATTTTATATGGTAGTAAACTGAGGTAAGGTGTGACATAACCTGCCTAGAACAAACAAATCAGTGTCACAGTCCCAACACCCAGGCCTCCAGACAGCAGAAATCACCTCTTTTTGAAGGTAAATGGTGCTACATATTGGGGCATGTGTTCAGTGGAGCAGAGGGACACACGACTCCAAGAGTTACAGTTTGTGCTGATGGTTCTGACACATGCAATGTGGGAGTAGGAATGGGCTCCAAGGAAAAGGTTGCTGGGACTTGAAGCTTGTCTTTAGTCTCTGCTTGAATCTGCCCCGATCAATTTTGATTTTCTCAATTATGTGGAAAGCTGTTTCCAGTCACCTGGTACCTTAAAAATAAAAACTATTTTAAGTTATTTTAAATGCTCTTCCATGCATGTGTGTCCAGACAGGTGTACAGACACACACACTCTCACTCATTTACTCATACAGCTGAAAGAGAGAAAATTGGAAAAGCAATAATAATGCTGCCTGCCTCGTATAATGAAGGATTATATCAAAATATATATCCTTTGCAGGAAGAAAAGACTACACCAGAAATCAACGTAGCTGTCAGCTGTGAATCAATTATCAATAACTTGCATTTCATAACTTGTGAGATCTTCTGCACCTTCATGTGTCTGTAGCTTGATCTTGAATCTCTCAGTCCTTTTCTCAAAAATGTTTCTGGTTGGAGTTATGCTTAAAAAGGCTAAGTTTATAACTGTGAGATTCCTTCAGCCCTTATTGTAGGTTATTCCACAGTCATCTTCCAGGTTTAAAGACCAAGTCATTAGGTCTGCCACTTGTAGCTAGCAGTCACTGAAGTCAGCAGAACTTTCATTCCCTGAGTACTGAGGCAGGCTGAGTAAGTATTTCTGGTCATATTTGTACTGGTTTGAAGGAACCAGAAAAACCTGCAGTAGATTTCTTTGCTCCTTTGTAGTAACTGAATGAATACAACTTGTGGGGAAATTAATCATATCAGTTGGGATCCATTCAGTTCACAGTGTCTGGTTTGGAACAGTTGGGCTTTGGTTCTGGGATGTGAAGGCACAAAAGGAAGTCAGATTAGCTAGAGGTGGCTGGAGACTGTCCAGGACAAGTGTATGCAAACACAGCAGAGGAACACATTCTGGCAAGCTGTCAATCTTCAGGCCACACTGCCTGTATCCCTTTCCAGCAGTAAATTTTCTGAAAATAAAAATAAGAAATCAAGTTCCAAGAGTTCCTGCAAGCCTGTGGTTCCCCTGATGCATCCTCCTCTTAGCTGTACTCCATGCTCACACTTCCTCCTGCAGAAGGCTTCAGCCTGGGGCTATGCAGCTTGAAAGGAGGAACCTGAGTGCAGTCAGCATAGGTGGCATGTGATGCCCCATCCTGCAAGATGTATTTAACATCCCTGAAGAGGGGGAAAGGAGGTCATCCTATGGGAGCCTGTGACTGAGAGGAAAATCATCATTTTAACTGGAGAATATTCTAGCCCCTTACACTGCCCTGTGGTCAATGATGCTGCAAGCTGCTGGGCCACAGGGCAATTGACCCTTTCATTCCCATCTGAAAAACAGCCCTCTGTGTTCCTGCTCCTGCATTAATGTTTGAAATACTTTCGGTGACAGATGAGGTCTCTGTTTTTCCTTTTGCTCCTGGTGGTTAGAGATACCTTACTGCAAACTGTGTTAACTGAGGCTGATCTGTCTTTGGGAGTGAAGCCCCTCTTCATGTCCACCCTAGCAGAATGGCTGCTGCAGCTGCTGTTACCACAGACTCACTGCGCTATTGGCTTTTCAGGTTCTTTGCAGCATCTTATTTTGTCCCCAAACCCTCTTATTTATCTATTGTTTAAGTAGCAGCCAGTGCAGAGTAGATTTGGGATTCACACCATGATACTGGTAAGGTAGATGGAGTGGAATCATGGGGTTGACTGGATAGCCCTGAGGCAGGAGTGCAAGAGATGGGATATTTGCAGGAGTGAGGAGTTGGTACCAGCTTTTGTACTAAGACAAGCCAGAAAATGAGGCCCTCTTGGAAAACCGCAGAGAAGGCTGGAGACAAGGCTTATATAATATTCTTAGAGGGGAGCAAGTATGCAGTGCTGGCAGGGAAGTTGAGGTGTAGTTCATTGCTGGTCAGGGACTCTGGATTTTTCTTCTTTGTTCTTCCTTGTTAACAGCCCTGAAGACTGCTAAACCTGCCAAGCAGTGCTCAAAGATAAGACAATATCTCCTTATAGTTATGCCAATGTCTTAACTATTTCATGATTTTATTTACTTTTTAAAGGATCACTTTCTATTATTGCCTTCTGATATTCACATTTCGTTAGCTCACATTTTACCTTCACTACATATCATATGGGTTATAAAAAAAATTCTCTGTATGAAAGCAAAATTTTGAGATTCGGAAGTAACCATATTTCTTCAGTGTCTAAGTCTTTAGGAAGACTGCTGCGTGGTTAAGAGAACCAGACACGCTGCCTGACAATGTATTTTTATAGTGCCAGAGATGGGAATTTGAACTGAATTGAAAGTTTGGGAAGTCAGTCCTTGAAAATAGTGGCTTAGGCTAAAAATGAACTTGCTCTGGGGAGCACAGCCACAGCAGGAAAACAGACTGAAATTTCGATCCTATTGATTCTAGTGGGCCTGGATTTTTCTCTTTTAAGGTGGTTAAGGTTTTTGGGGGGAGATGAGAAGAAAGCATATTTTTAGTATGTACTTTTTTCTTGTTCGACATTGAAAAACTCGCCCACATTCATGTCAAGTACAGGTGTGTGTGTCGAAACTGGGGGCACTGCTGCAGTAAGTATTTATACCACATCTGATTTTGAATCATTACACAGAAAATATTGCAAATGAACAATTTCTTTGAGTCTTTCTTGAGGGTGCAGTAAGAATTATTTGTCACTGTGTGGCAGTGTGCTACACATTACTGGCTGCTCTGATGTATCAAATGAGTCTTTTTGGAAGTGGCTAACATGTTACTACAGCCTTTTTACCCTCCTTTAGGTCCCTTGTAAAGGCTTTTTTAATGCTCACTCTTTTACTTGTACCCTTTGTTTTATACAGTCCATAAAGCATATTGTTTTTTTTTTTTTTTTTTTTTTTTTTTTCAGTCTAATTATGGCTGTTAGATGTTGCCTTTTCTTTTCTCATGAGATCTATTTGGGACAGATGTTTCTGGCAGTGCACATCACAACTCTGGTTCAGAGGTGCACCCAGAAATGCTGATGATACTCTGAGCATGACAAGCCTGCAGTGCCTAAACTAGAGTTACTGCTATGCTGTGTCTTCATCTTTGAGATATATCTGACCTCTAGCCTGCATCATGGCATAAGCAGGTCTTCTCTGTGGTAACTCTGATGCCACAGTTCATTTCTGTGCCTGAATGTACAAAGGTGATACATGGCAAAAATGAAAACTGGTGGGGAAGCACACACATTTAACTTTTTTTTTTACTAGTTTAAGTAGATTCTGGTGTTGGAAGGGAAGGGTGGCATAATGATTTCATCAAGATTGTCTCATCTTTAATATTGCTATTATGGTTTTAAAGTATGCCAGTTATAATAGGACCAAAGTTACTGCTTGAAAATAGAAAATGTAACACTAGTTCTGGGCTGATTCATCAGAGAGGTCCCTCTGGTTGTCTGTTCTCTCTGTACTGCAAGTACCTTCAAAGGCAAAGGTAGTTTAAAGAGGCTGCTGCACATCTTTGAATGTGCAGGTGCCTGAGTTGTGAGCTCATGAGCAGGTTATGTCCTGTCTTTGTTACTCAAAGGAGGCTACCAGCTGTTCCAGGTCATCTGTATTGTTTGCTTAGTTCCAAATGCTGAGCTTATTACTGCTAAGAGGATTTAATGCTGTACTCTGCTGGAATATTGTTGGACCCTCTTTGCTGATCTTAATGATAATTATGACAGTAAGTCTTATGCGTCTTTGTCCTGCAGGTGGGAAATGGGTGACTGCGCCATTGTAAATCCAGGTGCTGTCTGTGTTATGGTGAGGTTGCTGCCAAAGCTGTACAAAAAGGGACACTCTCAGGTGAGTCTGAATGTATCAAAGTGCCGTCTAAACAATGTCTGCTACTTTTCTGTAGCTTCATTTCCAAGAATTGCTTACTCTTTGCAGATGTGGAAGTACTGAAATTTACCTAGAACACTGGCAAGAGGAACAGTGCAAATTTCACTGAGTCAACAGATATAAGAACAATAAAGGCTCTTGGCTATCAGTTTGACTAAGTGTTTCTATACCTATCTGATGCAGTGCATGGGTCTTGGTCCCAGAATACTTACTGCAAAGGCACAAGTGTAGAAGTCCCTTGAAAATTGTTTAAAATATTGCTAACGGACCTAGCAACCAGAACAGTCTGGCTTTTTAGGCCTAACAGTCCATAAACTTTCAATGAAACTTAGAATCTGCTTTGCTTTGTCAAACCTTCTATGCACACGCCCAATCTGAACAAGCATATTGCCTATATTGTACCTGCTATCTGGTCTAAAATACTTGAATACAGTTAAAGTACATACGGAGGGATTGAAATAAAACCAGATTGTTCATTCAGAGCTATGGAAGGTGGGAGTGCAACTAACTGCTGGCACATCCCAACTCTGTGTAGTGGAACCAAGCCATCAGCTAGTGAAATTTTAACTACAGTAATTAATTTCTGAAAAACAAGTAGAACAGTTAATTGGATGAGAGAGAGTGTCATCAAGAAATTTATCAGAGCTGGCTCTAGGGCTGAGCTCTATGAGAGAGAAAGTCTGTCAGACCCTCAGTAGATGGCAGTGTTCTTAAAAATATGAAGGACTAGAGCACAAATTCCAGCAATTTCAGTTATGTATTTAAGTGTGTCCATCTTTTCTTCCCTTTTCACTCATTTTTTCTTAGTCAACAAGAAATTATTAATGATAGTGTTTGCTGTTGTGAATAGGATTGCCTCAGGTAAAATGGGACCGCAGTTGTGTGGGGTCCTACATAGTCAGACTCTAGCTAGAAGTTAAAACATGTCCTGAAGAATTTTTCATCAAATGACCCACAAAAAGGATAGAGGAAAAATAGGATTCTTCTGGCTAATTCTATGTAAAAGTGGGTGAGAGAATGAGTGGAACCTCGTGTCCCATAGCTTGGGCAGCTCACTGATGCTGCCAGGTAGTGACACAAAAGGCTGGACTTTAGTACCTTTAATCATAACATATACCATGACATGAACCCTTGTGCAATGAGATGCTACTTGGAACATGGGAGTCGGGCAAGATCTGTTGCAAAAGGTGGACCTCAATGGCTAGTGAAGGGGAGCTACTTGGTAGAAGGATAATAACTGAGGGAACTTCTCTTTGAATAGATCTATTCTGTCCCAAACAGGGTATTATTCTTTCTTTTAGTGCAACAGTGTTTGACAGCTATATAAGAGATGAAATAATTTCTTTGTGGGTGGAACTCTTTTACTGCAGACTTTCATTCAAAAATCTGAAGGGCCTTCTTGCTCTGAGTGTGGGTCAAATCATACATTTTTCAGGAGCAATGGTGAAGCACAGACAGTAACTCACCTCTTTCTGCTTGTTTTAGTGCTGTGACAGATCTTTTAGGCCAAGGTGTTCAGGACTAATCTGGAAAAAACTTCAGAATCAGTCTAAGTCATGTGCAATCCTTTGTTTTCACAGAAATGGCAATGAGAAAGCAGTGCTTTTACAGAAACATTAATGGAACTCAATAAAATTAATGTACTTTGATTCTGATCCTCAGAAATAATATCCATTTCCTGCCAAATTTGCAGCTTCTCAGTGACCTTTGTCGGACCCAAGCAGTGATGGGCTGAAGAAATGTTGAGCCTGTCAGCATAGAAAAAACAGCAGCAGACGGTAAAACAGGTGGTCTTGCACTTCAGCCATTTCTTCTGACTGTCTAGAATGACAATTAAAAGCTGAGGAGAATAGATTTGTGGTTGTATATTACTGCTATTCCTAGGTATGATCAAAAATAATTTGAATGTCATATGGGGATGAAAATTTGCTTAAAAGCCTTAACTCCCCCCTCCCCAAGAGACAGTCTTTGAGTCAGTAAACTGTATGTAGAGGATATTGCTCATGTTCATGCCTCGGACTGGTACTAAGCCAGTTCCCATCAGACTGCAAACAGTTTGACCAAATACAAGGTGGATTTTTTTTTTTATTAATATGCTGCCTATTCAGTGATGAAAGATAGCACTGTCACATGTTTCAAAAACAGTAAACTGAGACAGGTTAACATCTATTTTAGATATGTGGCTCAGGATATTGACAGGGTTTTCTTCTACCTTAAAAAGAAAGAAGTTTCCCCTCAGACATATATCATCCTTATCTGGCATTTTAGAACTGTGGCTTTTAAGAGTCCAGAGTGTCATGCCAGATCTGTCCCCTTTGTGATGTCAGATAAGGAGATCTCCTAGATCAGACAAGGCTAGGAAAGGGAAAGAAAACGACTTTTGAGAAGAAAATTAAAGCATGTTTGAGTTCTGTGTCATCATCCTGGCAGGTTTCTTGTGAGTATGGATAAAAAAAATCCTCACATGATTCATTGTGTAAATCATCTATACTTATGTTAAATAATATTATTGCTTCCACAGCTGGATTTGTTCTTTCTATTCTTATCCATGTCTCTCCTATGATGAACTGCTGTCATCTTCACTGTTGTAAAACTAAAACATTGTGCATCGATAAGGACTTTGCACCTTTTTAAACACCTTTATCCCTGGTTTAAATTTAGCCTGAACTAGTTGTTCTCACTGTAGATGTTAACAGCATAACACTTTCCAAGTATATGTACTTCTTAAAAATGTAAATTCTTTCCAAACTGAAAAGGTCTCTGACATAGTTAGACATGGCCCACAGAAGACTGTGTGACATTTGAGATTTGTCTGTCTTTAGACTTATGTTACTGTTATCACTGCTAATGTAACTGTTAATATCACAGTGAATTCCTAAATTACTGCACTGCATTTTCTGCACAAGGAAATTCTTTGGGTATTTGACTAGAGCTTCATTTCCCTTTGGGTTGTGCAGCCAAGGCTTTGAGAGAAGGGAGAGGAGAATGGACTAGAACTCTGGTAGGAAGGAGGCTAGCGACACCTTGGCTGTGGGTCCTCCAGCCTGTGCTGGTAGCTGAAGTTCAGCTCCTTCCCCTGAGCACTTTCCTGCAGGCTTTGCTCCAGCCTTGTCCCCTGGGGGATTTTTCTTCGCTAAGCCTGATTACAGCACAACTTTTTTTTTTAAAGAAAATGAACAGCCTGTCTGCATGTTCTTTTCCAAGGTTATTTTTAGGCTTTTAGTAAGAAGTTTGCTTGTTCATTGATCAACCAACTTCTGAAGCTTTCACTGTTTATACAGACCAAGTAATTTTCTTCCTGTTTGTCCAACCCCACAACCTGCCCTTTTATTTGTCCTGTTTCTCTTGCTATTCACTTTCTCCTATAAAAGCAGTCAGTGTCTCTAAAGTTGCACTAAAATATTGGTAATGTACCCTGGATTGAAGGGATAGGAACTCTGCCAAGAATCCTTGGCTAACTATACTGAAGATCATTTTCTATTTTGTCTTGTTTTTTGTGCAATCGTATCATTTATAAGGTGGCACACAGAGACAGCTTTGCCTTCCTCTCAGGTGTCCGATGAACATCATATTACAGCACTGCACAGTAGCTTAGAAAAATGAGGAGACACTGCATTTGGCTAATACTGTGTGTGCGTGCGGGAAATACTGCAACTAATGTGATCTGGTGACCAAGAGGTCTGTCAGACCACCAGAATTAACAAAAGGATTCTTAAAATTACAAAGAGGTTTTGTTGCCTGGCTTCAAATGGTCAAGACTTACTAGTGTAATTTCTTTAGAAGGCAATAGTAACCCTGGTATTCATATGAGGAAAGCTCTGTAGCTTCTCTTATGCACATGGTATACCAAAGGGAGATATGAAAAGCCTGATGGATATGATATAATTTTTGTGGGGCATTTAAATAGGCCCTATCTAGCTCCATGTTTTTGGAAAAGTACAAACAGTTCACACAGTTCATAGAGCTTTTTTTCCCTGTCCACTTGCAAGGAGCGCATGAACCCAGGTTATTCTGTAACTTTGTAAAACCCAGTTATACATACTGTCAACAAAGGAAGTTTTGCTTGTTGAGGTCTGTGGGTGAATTTAATCAGCAAAATATTGTGGTAGAATGGGAATGTGCTTGCAGCTGGGAACTGTGCATCAGGAATTTGAGCTGTGATATATTTATGAATTATTTAATTTTGGTAACATCTTAAGGGAAAAAAAATGCACAGATGATTTTCAGAAGTGACTCAAACTTTCTATAGACAATGGGTTCTAAACTGATGGATGTCTAAGTTTTCTGTTGAAGGCATGATTTAAAATCCTGGGTCACTTGGAACTTTTTGAAAGTGCTACTTTTGATGCCTTGATTTCTTCATTAGTAAAACTAAATCTCTATCTTATGTTAAGAAGTTAATTCTAATTTTCTATGAAGGGCTGCTAGCTTTTCAAGTGAGAGGAGCTTTGAGATTGAAAAGTAAGTTTGCTTTTTGCAATTGCAGACAGAATTATTGCTGTATCATTCTTAAATCTGAAGAAATCACATCCCTTTGAAGTGAACCCACACTGCCAAAGGTTCAAAGTTCTTGCTCATCTGGAACATAGCATAATAATTTTGGAGATGAATAACAGTGAATTAAATTCAGCTACCAAGTTTTGAAACTGTGGGCTCTTAGGAGCAAGAATCTGGGAACTACTTAAGCAGATTGGACAAATTGTAAGGTGACATTTCGCCCTTAAGACTCTAATCTGAGGCAGAGCTGTGAGCCCAACTGCGTTCTAACTTGCACCTTCAATATCCTGATTCATGGTGCAAGTAGTGTGCGTTAGGAAAATCAATCCACGCATATAGAAACACACAGCCTGGTTTCCTGGCCACCATTAATATTACCACTAAAATCTCATTTTACTGGAACCAAGATCCATGAAAACAGCACATTTTATTCAAAACAAGGCAATACTGGTATTGACAAAAATGCTAAGCTAATGAAAACAATCAATTTTTTTGTATGCCATTATGCTTTTATTGGATTCATTTTGTTTCACTTAGTCAAGACCTGTGTCCTTCTCTGTTTTCTCATGGTTTTATACATCTAAATACTTTCCTGCATCCAGTCAAAAATGGACTAAAATAGTAATAAAAAGATACAAAAAGTTATAAGCAAAGCTTTGATACACTGTAGCAATAAGTGCCTCTCTGAAGAATAATGTACTTTGGTGGATGAGTTCTATATGTAATGAGATGCACAGTGAAACTTGTGTCACTGGGAATGAACAGTCATTCAGAAAAAAGAACATGTTATTCAAAGAACTCGCCCTTCAGATATCAAAAATAGTAGTTGAGTTTACAAAAACAACATGTAAGTTGCATTGGATGTGCTAGTATTATTGTCTAAGTGTTGCAGTTGGGGCTTTTGGTTGCTGAGCACTTTGAAAACAAATTGCTTGTTGGCTTTGAAATTGTCCTGTACTGGTTTTGTTTAGTCTGGATGCAAAAGAGCTGAATTCCTCTTTACTCTTAATGAGCTAGCTTATTCTGAATCCAGTGAAGTTGCTTCTCATTCATATTATAAAATCATATCCCAATGTCCTAATCTTCAAGTCTGTTCTTTTCTTTAAAAGTTTGCATAGATATTTCCTACAAGAATGTATGAGAAAGCCAAAGAGCTCTTGGGGGTAGAGAACACTTTATCTTTGTAAGATTAGTGTTTAAATATACGATGCACAGTTACTTTTGTGTGAAATCTAGTTAGGTCAATGGGGTAGGCTCCATTCCTAATTGGAAACAAATTGCTCTAAAGATAACTTATGAGAATTGAGATACTTCTTTAAGACCATTAAGAAGCAATAAAGTAAAGCTTCAACTCAGCAAAACATGTAGAGAAGTGTTTAAAATTAAGTAACTGTTTCATGATATTGCTAGATACAGTTTTGTTTAAGAACAGTGCTTTTAGAAGAGTAGAACCTGTCAGTATGACTCTGCATGTGCTTAATGTTACATATATTCTGAGTTACTGTGTTGGTCCTGAAGCTTATGCCTAATAACCTGCCTTTGGTGGTGGTCCCTTCTTTTGAATGACAGTGATTGCTCTCTTCCTTCAGTACCATAGTGCTGTGACAGGAAGGCTCAACTGTGGATGGCTGAGCACCTACTCAGGTGGATATATGCATACTGTTCAAGTGCAGAGCTTTATAGAACAGCCATGCAGTTGCACTTGAGCCTCTGGCCTTAGACGCTTCTTCTTTTCTGGGCCAGGTTTTTACATCCAGAGATTTGACAACTGGGGTGGGGAGGGGCTGGGGGGGGAATCAGTCACCATGTACTGTTTTAGTTCCAGCACACTGACTTCAGTTCTGTGTCCATTTCAGCTTTCACAGGAAATCCAATGTGCTGTGGTCGATCATATTCAGTTCCTGGTGAAGTCAGAGAAGAGTCGCCAGGTGATGTGCGGATCTGGTTTGCTGAGTACTGTCATAACTTCCTGTCAGGATGCCTTCTGCAATAAGAGCCATCCACTGCATCTGCCCCTCACTAGAGTGTTTGAGAAGCTTGCATCACAGGCTATTGAGCCAGATGTGTTAAGGTATCGGATTCTATCTAATGGAACCAATTTGCTTTAGTGGTGCAAATTTTTTGCAAAGTTCGTGTAATAATTGGATACTTCATGTAGTGCTCTAATTCAGCAAGACTCAGCCTTTTGTTTCAAGTCTCATTTAATACTACTTACATATTGATCACAGAATATATGTTTAAATGACTTACTGAAGATGGTATGAGTCTGTAGTGTTCTGCTGCATCATCTCTGCAGGGGTTGTAAAGCCATTTATGAATGGTAACTAATTAAGTAGTTGCAAAACAACTAGGGTTATTCTCTCCTGGTATTCATATGGAGAAGCTGTTTCCTGAAGAGCAAAAGTGACTTTCTCTTAGCTTGGATCCATGTCAATTATAAATGCAGAAATAAAAAGTGTAGTCTTGTTTCTCAGTCTCTGTTGTTTCTACTTTGAAAATGTACTTTCTTCTTTAATGCTAGCAAATGCTAGGCATGAGAGTACCTAATAGAGATCAGAGGGCAGATGAAGTTGGATATGCAGTGGACGACTGGATTTCTTTTACTCAAAAATTGAACAGAATTCTTAAAAAAAAAAAAAACCTCCAAAACCAAAACAAACAAATAAAAACCAAAAAAACCCAAAAAACCCCAAACCAAAATGAAAACAAAGAACCAAAACCCAACAACAACACCCCCCCCAAACCCCCATAGATTTTTTTTTCTGAAAAATTAGTAGTATTCAAAAGTATTGCTGAAGAAAAGAAATGTTTGATTTTTTTTTTCAATAGGAAAACCTTGAAAGGGGAAGTGTAAAGCAAAACAAATATTTGTGATGATATAATAGAAAACATTCTTCTGTTTTATTTGGGATGTCTTTAAAATTTGGTCTTCAATAAGAAAGTTGGTCTCCATAGGGCTGAGCTGTATTTGAATGGTTGCTATGACTCCAAATTGTCTGGCTTTATTGTTTTCCCTTTTTCAGTTGTTTTCTTCTTTTTTTTTTTTTTCATATGAGGCGATTTCTTTGGTTGGGAGGTGCTCCACCACTACCTTCCAGGCCCAGCACAAACAAGACTGAGGTCCTTTCATGTCAGGGGAGTGATTCAGCTTGGAATGAAGGTAAGCACACAATGAACAGTCTGTTGCTGATACAGTGGCTGGGTTATAGATGTCTCTGTAATGACAGGAAGCTGCTGTTGGAGTAGGTTGCTCCAAGACAGGCACAGTGAAGGTGGAGTATGCCTGGATGTTTTAGACTGGGTATTGCCCAGGTTGGGTGGTACTTGACCAACAGTGATCTAATGACCAGCAGAGATCAAATTATAATACATGTGCTGAAGCCAGATGCTGATATAGACTCAGACTTTGCTGGATCAGACATGGAAGTGGTCTATATAAATGCTAATCATATTCCACAAACCAAGGGGAGTGTCTCCTGGGTTTGCAGCATGTTTTCTCTGTGGTTTATATCTAGAAATAGAATAAAGATGTGAATAAGGAACACAGCTTTTTGTAATCCCTAGGATACCCTAGTAGTCTGCCGTGCTTATACAGGCCATTTTCCATCCAAGTCCTTTCTCTGTTCTAAGATATTTTGCAGGTGAAATGCTACAGTAGTAGTATTTGGTGCTTAAACTGTTCTCATGTCTATGAGACACCTGATACAGCACGGTACAAATTTGGGTCTTATGTTCTTTGCAGTCATTCTTCAGATCCTCTCCCACATGTTGGTTGTAACTATTCTGTTATGGCAGAATTGATTGGTCTGTGTATAAGAAAAATGGCACCAATGAGTCAGGAATCTTTTTTACTAGAGGTGAAATCTGGAGCTGCCTGAAGATGTGTCAGGAGGAAATATGGCTATCACTTCTGCAAGCTCATCTCTCCTGCCAGCGTCCCATTTTGAAATTCCTTCAGTGCAATATTTTTGTGTATTGCTGAGGATTTCTGCAGGCTGCTGAGGATGTGTTATTTGAAGAGCATGCAGCGCTGTTCTTAGCAGTGATGAATTGAACATGGGCAAAACCTGTGACTGAAAAAAGTATTGCAGGCACTGATCTGGTTAGGCATTATGTTGATCTTGTAGGTTCAGAAGAGGACATGGTGGACAATAAAACTGATCCTCAGACAGTTGTGCCTGTCAGCAGCTCTCCTTGGGTGTCTAAGGGATCTGCATTGGCACTCCAGACTGCAATGAGTCTCATTTCCATGACGTCACCTCGAAACTTCCAGCTCCGCAGCAATGCTTTGGCTCCATCGTTTGTGGAGTTTGACATGTCCATGGAAGGATACGGGTATTGATGCTGCTGCTTTTCTCTTTAGCTGCTCCGCAGTCTCGAAGCCCTTATTCTGGACACGGCAACTAATCACTTCTCTCTCCAACTTAGTCAGTCCTTGTGCCCTGTTGCTGCCTTCCTTCCAACAATGTTGCCAACCTATTTTGTTATTGTCTTCTTGCTGATAGCCTAGGGTCTGCCTTGCTACCATGTTTCTGCTGTATTAAGCCACTGCTGACCTTCAGGGATGATTTTATGTTTCTGATGAATGGGTGCTTTGCTTGCTTTTGTAGGTGTTTATACCTCCCTACCTTGGCCACTCTCATGGGACCCAGCGCAGAGCAGTCTGTCTCAGGAGGAATTGGCATGGGTAAGCACTTTGACTCACCTACAGGTTCCTGAAAGCACTGACTTTTCAGCCCCACTGAAAGTGTTCAACATTTCTAAGAAATGGCAGCAAATAAGCTGTGTATTTTAGTACACTTCTGTTTCTGTCTCCCAGTCCAGCTCTGAGCTGTATAATTCAGACTGCTCAATAAAATGCAGATCAGATGCAGCTTAATAGTGTGATGCATTAGCATTAACATTAACAATACAAATTTAAAGCAGGATGCTAAGAAAACAGTCTTAACAGGCAAAAGCCACCAGATTTTATGGTAATCTCCCACAGAAGGAATAGAAATTGCCACAACATGAAATGGGATTCTCCTATAGATCAATATCCTCTATTGGGTGAACTGGGAGATGGCTGTACCTTTTGCTTCCCGAATTTTGTGAACTTTCAGAACTTGTTTCTGTCTCAGTGCTTCCCAATTGATGAGGTCCATGGCATGGAGACCTAGTAGTCATTTCTCATCAGTCAATTTTAGGTCATTTATATATGTGCACACATTCATAAGTGCAGCCTTTATGATACTGAAGATAGGCAGTGAAATCTAATAGAACAGAACAGAAATTAAACCTCATATTCTAATGTTTGGGCTACAAATGAAACAGGAAGCAGTTTGCTAATGTCTGCACAGGAAAACCAATGTCCTTACTGCCTTTTTTGCTTCCTGCCTGCAGGCACCAGAATGTTCCCTCCCTCAGGTGGCCTGACACTCTCCTGCTGGTTTCTGGTTAGCAAGTTTGGTTTGGTGCACAACAGTCACCCACTCCGTTTCCTCACGGTCGTGAGGCACATGTCAAGAACAGAGCAAGAATTTGTTTGCTTTTCAGTAAACTTCTTCCCACAGGACCTTTCTTTGGTAATTTCCACGGAAGAAGTGGAATTCCAGCCGCTTGGTAAGGCTCTTCTCAGTCAAGCTGCAGTGCTGTGTCCTCTGATTACCTGGAATTTTTCATTAACAAATTGCCTCTTCTTATAAGTAGTCAGGACATTAATGAGACTTTTTACCTCTTCAGTTTTCTTCTGGCAGCCTGTTGTGACTCTAATTCTTGGTCATATTTCAGTTTTAAGTTTGCTGTAGGCATTGAGAATTATTCTGTGGCCTGCAATATGTGATAAAACTTAGACATCTTCTAAGGAAAACTTTTGAATGTCAAGTTATATGGTTGTGTGCAGTTGTGGAGACTGGACTTGAACCAGCTGGTACCTGCCTGTTCTGTATGGCAGTAGGCAGGTTTGGAGAGTAGGACTGAGGAGTTTGGGAGTGATCTAGCTTCATAATCAAACAGTTCATTTCATCTCCTCACTTTTAGAATGTTTTCCGTCATGTCAGCCTATTAATCTTTTTTCCTTGTTGACATTTATCCCTTTCTCCTTACTGAGTACAGTAGGTACTTCAAATGTGAATGTGATTGAACATTGCAGAGGAGGTTGGGAACGGAGTGGGAATAGTAGCTGGAATTTTTCATGCACAGCTGACATTGTGTGAGTCCTCTGATTCCCTTAGATGATGTTAAAAAACCCAGCTTGCCTCTTTTCATAAAAGCTACAAATTAATGTACAGAGTTTTATCATCTCATGAATTTGCTAGGAATTTTTTTTGTCAGCTAACTCAGTGAATATCCTGAGGGGTTCGCCTCTCAGAGAATATCTTGGCCTTGTCCTAGTTCAGTCTAGTTTTGCAGCATTGAGGTAGCTAGCAGGTGTTGAGAATTGTGTAAGTCTCAGATCCTTATAACAGACCTTCAGGGAATGTTTTAAAGACATTGAACTGAACAGCACCAAATCACTCTATACCCACAGAGTATCATGTTCTTTGTGTTACATTTGATAATTGTGTTCCAGAGGCAGGGGAAGGTGAGAGACTTGCTGTTGACTGCCCTGTTTTTGCTCTTACAGATATCATGGAACCTGAGGGTGAGATCATAAATCCCTCCCCATTTCCAGGGCAAGTCCAGTTTGGCTGTGGCAAGCTGCTGGTCACTGGCCAGTGGCATCATCTCACAGTGACAGTTGCTAAGGAAGCAAAGAAGAACTGCATTGTGTCAGCTTATATAAATGGTCAGATGCTTGGCTCTGCAAAGGTAAAGGCTCTCTACATAGATCTTGTGCCTGACATTTGCCTTTCATTGTTTTTAATTTTCATCTCCCTATGCACATACCATGACTTTTCAGTATTAATCTGAGAGACTCAAAGCATGGTGATTTGCGTATATAACGTGTGCCACTCTGTGCTGAGCATGAGTTGAGTCAGAAATGCATACAAAGCAGGGTGTATTTCTGCTGCTTTTCAGAAATATGTTATCAACTTATACTGATGCTTTGAACTAGTTCCCCACTCTCCCCTCAGCATGCAGATAACCAGGGCAATTTTGAGTGGTGACACTCACCTGAGAGTTGGGGTTATCTAGTTTGCAGGTAGCTCAGGGTTATGTTGATGAAATTCAGTTGCACTCTTAGGCCAAAATTTTCTGAATTGACTTGTGATTTTGAGGATCTCTCAGGTAACATCTGAGATTTTCAGAAGTTGTCAGCTACAAAAAGTACATCACATTAAGGTGTGACCAGAGAAGCCTAAACCAAAGGTGCTTTGGATTTAGGCTAAAACCTGCAAAGGTGATGAGTTACATAGGGAGCCTCCAGTTTTTTGAAGAAAAGCCTGGAAAAGCAGAAAGGTCACAGAAAAATAAGCTTCTGTGACTGGCCAGCTCTTTGCAAGAATCCTAAGATGGATGGAGTTTCCTCAAGCATCTTCCATGGGCATATTTCAAGCTGTCCTCTTCCTGTTGCACCCGTTGAACAATCAGCTGATGAGTGAGTGACCTTTTTCCCACTGGCACTCTAAGCATTCAGGAATAGATAGATGTTTCTCCAGGTTAGTTGTTCAGTGTGTGAGACAGCTCTTCAATTAAAATAATGCTTCTTTTTCAATTTAATAGAAATGAAATGTTTCATTTAGGATAAATTTATAAATCTCAGTGATATCAACTCACGAGTTCATTGCAAATATTGGTGTAGCTAATATTACCCCTAATGTGCCGTTTCTTATGATCATCTTGTTGCATCAGAGTTGGTTCTCACATAGTGAATTTCTCAGGTTGCATGAGATACCATGACAGAGCAATAGAAATGGACCTGAAGGGTTCATAATCTACAGAATAAATGAGAAGAGCCCCTGGTTTATCTTATCATTATCATCATGCTCCTCGTTTTGAAGCTAATCTCAAATTATTTGTGAAATTTGATTTTTGGATTTTGAATTCTCCAGGCTGGCAATGTTGAAAATGCAGCTTATTTCTATTGCAGCTTTGCTTGGTGTGGTGTTTTTTTCGTTTTGTTTTTTAGTAGAATCCTTTTATTAATTGAAATTTGTAACCTCGGTCTCTTCCTTCTTGTTCCCATATTTCAAATCAATCTCAACACATGCAAAGCTCACTTGTGTGTTTTATACTTGCCTTGTAAAAACAACCTGTTTAATTCCAAATATTCTCTTTCCCATACTTGAGAAAAATGATCTGTCTTCTAAATGCCTTTTGGGACCTATATCCATTTCAAGAATGAAAATTTAATTTAATTTGCCTTCCTTCAAATGAGACTGAAAGTCATCAATAAAACTAGGCCTAAGCATTGCAATTGATTAAAGAATTCAGAGCAAATGTGTTTAATATACAGTGAAACAGCTCATAATAAATAAAACAAGCCTTTAGTAAATAAAAGATTGTCCCAGTGCTGGGGTCTCTGACATGATGCAAGCCTTCATCTCGATGCGTACAGTGAAGAAAAGATTGTGTAAGAATTAGAATTGTACAAGGGTTGTTAACAATACAAAAAGCTATTTTTGGGTGGTGGATCCAGGGGGTGGGGATGGGGGTTACTGTGTTGCATCAAGCCTCGGTTCCCGAGTATTTGTTCACTCGGGTATCAAGTCCTGCTTCCTAATATTGATCAGCCCTGTCTTCTACATCTCAGTAGTCAGAGATCAGTAAATAATAGGAGTCTCTCATCCTAATAGGAAATAGTTAAAGGCAGGGCTAAGCCCTGAAGTACAATATAGTTTCTCTCTACCAAAAAAATTCCAACTACTTCCTGTTAGAGCTGTCTACGTATAAATAAAATAAGAGACTTAAATTAAGAGTCTGAATCCTTATTCTAATACCAAAAATAAATGGTCCAATTTCCTAAACTATGTCACTTTCACTGAAGCTAGCTGATGCACTAGGTGCCTAGTACAAAGTGTGATCTGTAACTTGGCTTTCTGTGTTGAAAGTCACAGTCTGAGTTACGAAGTTTAGAACAGGAAGAATAAGTCTGGGGTGAAGACAGGGTTTTTCTTTGCCAAAACTTGAAATGATTTTGACTCTGTTTTTTGAACAAAAAGTAGACTTGAACTTTTGAAAATGCTTATGTTTGTGACACTTCTGAGAGTCCAGTTTCTAAACAGTAGTTGATAATTGTGTTGCATAGCTGACTGAGACTTCATTGAGGAAAGGGGTGGCAGGCAGTACTTTCTGGGGACAAGACCGTAAGGCATCCTGAGTGTATTTGGTCCCCTCAGTGAATTCTTCTTCTGTTGCAGATGCAGTATCTCCAGCCCTTACCAGGTAGCTGTATTTCCATGGAACCCTCTTCCTTTATTGATGTCTATGGGTACATAGCTACTCCTCGAATTTGGAAACAGAAGTCCTCCTTGACCTGGCGCCTTGGTCCTACATACTTGTTTGAAGAAGCCATCTCTGTGGAAACCATGGAGGTGATTAATAAGCTTGGCCCACAGTATTGTAGCAATTTCCAAGCAGTACAGCTTCAAGGTATGTGATAATTCTCATATCCACCTCTATTTGTTTGTCAGGGCAATGCTCTTTTTATTCTTATAATCTACTATTAGTATTCCAACTGAGACTAGACCTTGCTCTAAAAGCCTGGAACTCTGCGTTACTGAGCATTGTACAAGATTGTAATAAGATACCATGAGGATCTTTTAACATACTGTGAATTGTGCAGAAAAAGGGCAGGAATCAGGCAGCAGAGACAGCTGGAGAGTAAAGAGGGATAACATGTCCTTGAGGAGATGTAAGATTGCAATTTCTATTGGACAAACGTTAAAGCAGCAGCTTTAACTGCGACGTTTTGCATTTATGGCCCTACAGAAAAAACACAGCAGGAAAAGAAGCATCGTCTTTAATTGCAAATGCCTGCAGAGTAAGAAAGAGCACAGGGGAGAGAGGGGTAGGGGAATAAGTTGCATTCCATTTAATGAAGAGGCTTTTTAACTAAAGTATACTGTTAGCTTCAATTATTAAACAGGCAGACAAAACATTTCAGTTATTGATTACTGTTCATTCAACAAGTAGCGCATTCACCTCTGTACTAGAGCTTGGGATGAAATGGGATGGTCATCTCCCATTTGAAAAGAGCAGAATAATCTCATCTGGTGATGCTTCAGCCTAAAGCAAAGTGAAAAGCCTGGCTGAAAGTACTCCTTCAGAATGCTGTCTATCTAGACAAAAACACCCCCAAAACCTCAAAGTCAAGCATGGGAAGGGGTTGTTGAAAGAGAAGTTATATCAAAATGCAGCCCTAAAATAAAAATATTAGCAATAGAAGTCAGAAGGATTTGATTTTTGAAGTGTTGAGTCTTTATAAAGTCTGGGGTGCTTGTTCTCTGCACACTGGTCGTCCCAGTTGGACTTTAGTACTAATCATGGATTGTGGCTATCTGACTCTAGTCATGCCCTGATGCAGGGAAATTACAGGGCACCATACAAGATGTGATCTTATCATTGTGAAATGATCTCTCTCTCTCTCTCTTTTCCTACTCCCCTGCCTCTTTTTTGGGGGTTAGAAGGTGGGCAGGGAGGGGATGTGGTACCTAACATCTCCCTATTCCATCAAAACACTCAAAGTAACTTTTCTAATGGAAATTTTGACTTTAAAAAGTTTCAGCACAAACCCCCCAAATATTATAGTTTATTCCTTAAAGGGGATTTATGATCTTGTTGCAAACAGCAATTTGAATTGTTTCAGCAGTGTTGTGTCCCATCTCACGAGTATCTCATTGCTTCTCATTAATCAGCAGCAGATGTGTGGAGGCTTAGCCATAAGTCCATGTCCTACTGGAAGGAAAAAAGGTGACACAGTCTTGGGGCATTTACTTCTAGTTAATCTTCATGCAGAATATGTGCTAATTCTTTTTGCCTATAAGGGCTGTGTCACCAGCATTAGTAAACAGTTTCATAAATCAACTGTTTTCCCAGACTATAAAATTGTCAAAAATACAAGATTTTTTTTAGAAAAAGGTACACATAGTTTTTCCAAGTGCAAGCAAGAATAGAAAATTCTCTAAAGAAAAACATGTGAGAATTTCATGCAAACATTAAACTGCTGAACCTGGTACTTTTTAGAAGCTTCCCATATGTTGTGAGTTGGCAACTCTAAACTTTTGCCTCTGTCCTTTTTCTTCCACATGAATCCTTGCTCCTGGTACCCTTGAGAAAGCTCCCAGTAACATGGAAGGTCTCTGAAATGTTTTCTCTGCCCAGAAAGTTTGTTTATATTGTGTGGACAGAAAAGGTTTATTCTGGACTTTTCTGAGCTTCGTGAGATACTGGGAGAGGATGTAGGATCTACACAAAGCAGTAACCAGAGGAGATAAGCCAAGCACATCACCTATTGATGCTTATGCTGGCAAGCTGCCAGGGACTGTGTTGCATAGGCTGAGGGCTTTTTTCTGATTATAGTTAAGTCAAAATCAAATTCCTATCTAAACTTTGGTTTCCTCTAGTTATTTTTCATCTTCCTTTTGCATGTTGAGCATGCAAAGTTCTTCCAGAGGTTTATAGTCTCTCTTGTTTTAGGTGAGGAGCAGTACAGCGATCATAATCGTACACCTCTGGTGGCAGAAGAGAAGATTTCTTTTGGAATCAATGCCATGTGTTCATCTCTCACTACAGTCCAAGATATAAAGAGCTCCTACAATGAAGTGGATGGCCGACTGATTGCCAAAGAGGTCACAAATTTCCCTCATTTGTATCGAACATCTGTTCTCTTGTTTCTGAGTGGTTTCCTGGAGCAAAGTTTGTGACTTTGTCTTAGTTGCGTACCTTCTGTGACTTTTTTTTCCCATCTTCTCTTTCCATTTCTTAACTCTATTCTTAGTTTTGTTTTCATCTGTGGAGAGGAATAGACTGGATAGTGTGAGCACAGTGTTAAAAGACTTTCTTGAAACAGCAACAGAAGCCATAGTTTTCAGGTCTAATGATAATTTGTTTCAGTCTGTGATTTATTAATGCCTTCAGAATGACCTTTCACATGCTATTCTCGCATTCTTGCCAATGCCAGGCCTACTGACATGTCAAAGTAATGGGGCTGTAGGATATTTCAGGTGGGTGAATATTTGCCCTAACAATCAACTTTGAAGGAAAAATAATGTTTTTCATAGTCTAAAGGTAACAAAATAATCTTAAGTATTAGAGCATCTGCTTGTTACTTTTGTCTCCCCAATACTACCTCATTTTTTCCTAGGATGTCTTTTATCTGTTTTAGATTGGGATTAGCTCTCGGGACAGTTCAACTCCAATATTCCTAGCTAAGAATATTGCTGGACACCTCTCAGGTTCCTTGCGGACTATTGGGTCAGTTGCTGTGGGCCAATACGGTAAATGCACTATACCTTAATGTTTCGTACTTTTTAAGAGTTGGGCCTTTCTCTGCCCAATAACAGATTTAGTCCATGTAACTTCCTGGTAGAGTAACACTGCAATTTCCTAGGGGTAAGAGTGTTCCAGTCTTCTCCGGCAGCTACTAGCCTGAACTTTATTGGAGGTCCTGCCATTCTGCTGGGTCTCATTGCTATGGCCCGTGATGACCACACCATGTATGCAGCTGTCAAAGTCCTGAACTCCATCCTGAACAGTAGCCCAATGAGTGAAAAATTGATGAGGCACATGCATGGATACCAGGTAGATACTCTTTTGTTCATTCATTCTGGTTATAGTCTTTCCCTTGGAGAACCTTATCCCAAAACCTATCAATGGCAAAAAACCAAACATATCCTGGCTATTAGCACTTACAATTGGAACTTTGTAAGTTATGTGATCTTTGAGAGGGGGATATAGGGTAGTGCTGTAAATCCTGTGCTTACAGTCTCTGGGAACCTCTATAAGAGTATATCTGCTGATGGGAAGGTGAGGACAGATGCCTCTTAGTCAGATGTGATAAACAATTAAGCCAGTGCAGCAGATTTGTGAGTTGACCCAGCCTTCACCTTTTACCAACACAGTTGATCCCTCCCACAAGAGACCACTTCACAGACAGGGCTGCTTCCTCCCCTTGGCTCATCCAGCCTAAGATTCCTCTTTACAGACTGCCCAGTCTAGGGCTGACAATGAATTCCTATGGCTAAGTCTTCACTGTGTGTTAGGAATGGTGCTGATATAAATAAGTGTTGTCTGGATTTCATTGATTAGGTCTGTCCTGAATTCATCTTTCAAACCTGAAAGCTGTGCAGACTGAAGAGTTTGGTTGTATTTAAGCACTATATACGTAATATTGGATGGGTTAAGTCTCAAGTGTGATGTTTCAGTTCAGTATCATTTACTTTATGCTGTGTAGGCTAAGCGGAGTCTTATGGAACAGAGAAGACTCTTTAACAGAGATGGTTCCAAACAAGACTCTTAACTTTAGGGCTTCATGAATGATTTATTATAAAGTTTCCATTTTCCCAATTTGTGAATTGTTCATAAATTGATCCTGATTCATATGAATATATTTATCATACTTAGATATTGCTTGCCCAATCCTTTCTTGTAGGTGAATGCCAGCCTTTAGACTGTGTACAAGCTGTTCCTTTTGACTTTGTGCTAAATAGTGTTCTTTCCATGTGACAGATCATCATGTTACAATGAAGTGGTTTTGCTGTTTGTTTGGATGTCTGAACCTTTTTTTTTTTTAAACAACCAACTAATAAAAACGTGTCTTGATATGTATTTTTAAATAAATATATTCCTCCTAAGCTATTAAGAATGTGGTGACTTTCTGAACATTTTTCTCACCGTACCAAGAATTCATTGAATAATCAAAAACAGACTCAGTTGAGAAACTGGTAATGTTTCATACCAATGTCTTTCATTTGAAGAGGTCAACATTAATTTTTTTGTGTTAAACTAACTCCATTTGCAAGGAACTAAGAATACATCCATGAATAGTATAGAAAACCTACTGTGGTTATTTACAATTATATTTGTATGTTGCTTTTTGTAAATTCCATTCGACATAATATGGCATGTATTTTGCTCCTGTTCAATGCCACAGAGTTGTGAAACTCCTTCAAAGACTTACCCTTTCACTTACTGCACAAAATTTTATGCCTGGACTGAAATCTTCAGTTTCTTCATGATGCTTGGGTAAGGTGTATGACTACTACAGCCAATTAAACTGTGCATTTGTCTTGAATTAAAAAATAGTGTTATATGTTAGTTTATAAATACAGATTTATACTCGCCAGATACTTAATAAGTCTTTTTTTTTTTTTTCAGTTGCTGACCTATCTATTGAAGAGGAAGACACAGCTGTTAAACAACAGGATTTTACAGTTAATGTTTTCCCTAGTGGGCACAGCTGAGCTTGGCTTTGAGTCTTCAGTCATAAAAAATTACAGTGCATTCGAGTATGTTCTCTGCAACTTTGAGGTAAAACTGTTGATGTTACTTTGTGGGTTTGGCTGTATTAACGATGGCTTTATAGTATGAGGTTTGGTTTGTTCACAGTACCTCCTGGATACAATATTTTGGATGGGGTGGTGTGTGGTGATTTTCCACACTGTAGCTCACCTGGGGAGGTGGTAGCTCCTGGAATGGCAGGTCCTCTGTCACCATGGCTCCCCACTGTGCCCTGGTGCTGTTTCTGGAGTGCTCCTGCAGATCCTGAGGGCCTGCTTCTCAGGGCTAGCTCAGGAGCAGCAACTCCTCACACTGACAGGGATTTCTCAGTGCCTGCAGGTTGACATTGCAGAGTTTATGATGTTATCCTCCCTGAATTACTTGTAACTGTTTCTCTGCCACAGGTTGCTGTCCTCTCAGCTCATCAGGAGCAGTAAAACCTCTGCTTTCCTTTGTCTTTCAGCTTTGGATGAAAGCACCAGAAAATCTTGACCTTGCTCTTTTTTCACATCTTGTGGAGATCTTGCAGTCCTCCAGGTATACAAGCTAGTGTTTGAATCAGAAACATGTCATACAAGCTCATCTGTAACCTGAAGCTGGAACTGCGAGGTGGATATGAAGGGTCCAATCCCTAGTTGGAATCAGTGGACTCTGGGAGTGAATCATTCCTATATTGTTCTTTCAAGGCTGGAGTTAGTGATTTGATCGGCCACTGAGATGACTGTGGGGCCAGATGGGGAAAAGCTGTCTGGTGACCTGGTTCACATGGAACCACTGCTGTACAATGAAAGTTTAAATGTCTGCTGGGGAGGGGAAATACGAATGTTTGAACTGAGTATGAAATAATTAAAAAAAAAAAGTTGTAGTTGAAGTTGTTTTTAAAACCAAAATACAACCCAGGAAGACTTTTTTATAACGGTATACTTTCTTAATCAGCTGTACTAGAGTTAAATGTTATCTGAAGAGACATAGCATGGCAGAGGGCCTGAACAGAGCAGGATGCTAGATTCCTTCTTATTGGTACTAGAAAGCTCTATGCAGATGTGTCTGGTGTCGCTTACTGAGTTTTACAGCAATAGCATTTATTACCACCAACTCACTGCTTGAAAATTCAATAATGTTGTTTTCTTTGAACTCACTGAAATGCAGCAGTTTCCAGGGGAGAGGGCAGATGGGAAGGGTAGAGAACACACAAAGAAGTCTTCAGATCTCCATTACTGACACATATTCAATTTGTCTGACAGTGTTTGAAATGCCAAGGCAACATTAGAAGCCAAAGGTGCAAAGTATCAGTGCAACCTGAGAATCCTTTTAGCTGAAACCCAGCAAATTTGGTTCTTTCCAGTAAAAGCTTTTAATAGTCCCTGTGCTTTTTTACAGAGATGGATGTCAGAATGCTGCAGTTGCCTACCAGGTGCAAATGGTGCCCAAGCTCATTTTCCTCTTCAATGACCCTGAAATCAGTAACTCCAGGATCACTGTGGCCTGCACTATTCTCTCCCATCTGTTGCAAGGGTACTTTAACACAAGAGATGTTCTCAGGTAACCTTCAAATCTATAGCTTTTTCTCAGTTTGTAGATGAACTATATTCTTGCCAGTGTTGGAGAGATCTCTATAGTAGAACTTCCCTCACCTCATCTTTGGTAGGAGCCCCCAGATCTTTGACAATTGCAGGATCCCCGCTGATAAAAAACTCTTTCATGCCTTCAAAACAGAGTTCAGTCCAACCTTATATTTGTGTGAAGATGGGTTGGGTGATGGCCTTTACAATGATGGCACAAACAGCTCTGCTGCTATGACTGGGACTACTCAAAGTCTGTACTTAATATTTGGTTTCATTAAATCCTGGCCCTAAAGTATTGCAATCGCTATAGTATTGCAACTTGGCCCCAGTCAACTATGTACCTAATCTTGTTGGTTTGGCTTATATCCCAGTAACTATCCTTTTTGTTTGTGAATTTCAACCAGTTAAGGTATCTTAGTCAGGATTTCATGAAGCAAAGAATTTAAATCCTTGTTTGCTTTCCACAGAATGTAAGCGCTGCTCCATTTTATATTCCCAGCCTAGTTGCATCAGCCTGTAGCCTGTAAACTGAGGAAAGTCCACACAGTGCTGTCTACAGCCACCTAACTCCAGGGAAATGCACTGCACAGATGACAGCTCTGTTTTTAAAACCCTTTGTCCAAATAAAAGATAGAAACAGAGTTGCATGTCAAATCTGTGGTCTTTGCAGTCAGCCTTTAGCTCTGTTGGAGAGTACAAACACCTCGAGTAGCTTCAGTGGTTTAAGCTAATATGTGAACGTACTGCTTGCCAGCTGTTTTGTGGGCTTACATGCACATATGTTCCTACCTTGGGCTTATATGAGTTAGCATATTCTTTTTTCATACAGGTTCAAGTAGTGGATTTAGTACATTAAATTTGCCATGTGGTAAGGAGTGTGAATGAACATTTTTCTTAAAATATCATGATTTGTTATTCCATGGTAATTTGATTGGTTGTCAGGCCCATGAGTGCTGAGCAAGTGGATAAAGTTAGTCCTTATCCTTCCAGCTCCAGGACAGCAGAGATTATAGCAGGGTCTCAGCAGCACTGAAAGGTGTTCGGATTTCTGCTGGTCCCAGACTTTTGACACATCTAATGGAAATTGCTGTGTGGACCATTCCTGCAGAACAATTGGTGTTCTGTCCCTCAAGAAATGCCCTTCCTGTGGGCAGGAGAGGTTATGCACTTCCACTAAGTGCGTTTGTCACGTTAATCTATCTATCCTTAGAACAAGGTAATGTGTTAAAGGAAACTACAGGTGAAAAGAGATTGCCAGTCTTCTTCCCTGAGTACCTGCTGAGGTTTTTCTGCTCTCATCTATGTGCTTGGAAACCAAGTGGTGATAACGGTGATATCTGAATGCCACAGGCAGTTCAGAATCTTTTGTATGAATAGAGTGCTTAACTCAGTATTGCTTTCCTCATAGTAAAGACCTTTAAAATTAAGATATAGAGAAAAATATCTCCGTGGTAGAATAGATATTACTCACATTTGTAGATAGATGTCCTTTGTATTTGCTTCCTAGTTTATGAACTTTTGCATTCCTATTTCAACCCTATTTCTGCAGCAATTAGAATTTTCAATGGTTGTCATTAACAGTCATCATTAATGAGTACTGAGATTTGCATGTAATCTCAAAGTAATTAAATGAATGTCTGTCTTTCTGCTGACCAAAACTACTTCCCTCTTTCTCTGCAAGGATTGGATTGTTCCTTGTTTACACTTTGAAACCTTCTTCTGTGGATGAAAATCAGATTTGCCTGGATGGTGTGGCTGAGATGCCCAGTGAAGGTGAGGAGCTACCTTTGGTGTATGTGTTCTGATAGACAGCTAAGCACTTCCCTTCTTTCCCAGGGCACGATGAACCCTAAATGCAACATAGTGCTTCTGCCTCCAGTGGCAGGAGGAGACACAAGTCAAATGACTTCATCTGGAAAGGGACAGGCTGCATTGAGGTGACCTGAAATTGTGGGCGAAAACTTACATTGCTACAAAGGCCTGATGTGAAGAATAGTGAAGTGACAGTCACTGTATATATACCCAGGAAGGCCTGACCTACCGCAAGATCCTTCTCCTGCTAAGGGAGTTCCCCTTTTGTCCCCCCTCTGCTAATAAGGCAGCAGTACTTTGGCTGCATTGTCCAGAGCCTACACAATGTTGAATTTCACAGATATACACAGAGGTGAAGGCCATTAAATTGAAGTTGCCCCAAAACTAACGTACTAGGTTGCTAAGAGGAATAAAATTTCACTTGGGATCCTGGATTTTCTGTGAATAATAATAATGTGGAGCTCTGTACCTTTTAAAGCATCTGTGTATTTATGTCAACGTTGTATGTGGGAACTTCCAGTCAGCTGGCTCTCTCATTGTGATCTTTCAGTTGAGACTATATTGGTTACTGCACCTCTAAAAATGTATTATATTAAGGAGACACTGATAACTGTAGTTTCTGTATATAGACATCACAGCTAGGCAGTACAAGTCAGGTTGCCTGTTTACATTTCCCTTTCTAGTTAACCTGAGATTGCTTCCTGTGGATTATTATTTCAACACATACTCTGGATGAGTTTTAAGTACCTCTAAAGAGAGGACTTTGACAATGTAAGCACTGGTCATTTCTGATATTAGCAGGAATTCTTATGTCTAAAATCTAATGTCTGCATCCTTTTACTCTACAAAAGACTGATATAAGTACTTCCACTGGGCTGATCTGGTGCAAACAAGGTTGTTCATCAACACAATGGAACATGTGTTTTGTCTCTTCATTACTCTTTATTACTTTCTGATATTTGTAGCCTTAAGCCAAACATCTGGAAAGACAATCTGGCTTCGAAACCAGTTACTGAAGACGCTGTTAGATGTAATGCTCTCAGACAAACTTCATTTGTCCTCTGAGTAAGTAGAAACAATTTAGGAAGGCATAGGTAAGTGTCTCTGTCTTCTAGATTTCCTCTTTGGTGGTACTTGACCAGGACTAAGCATACTGGTAATATTTGAGTCTCAACAAAATAGTAAGTAAGAACAGAGTGGATTCAGAGTTATTTTTTGTCAGTGATTTATCTGACATTCACACAGATGTGTGATCAGATCACACATCTGATATCCATTTTGAAAAAAGTCTAATGTTTTCAGAAAATGTCTCAAAGGAGGAACTCATATATTGCTGTTTCTTCTGCATTGCAAGTGTTGAAGAAATCCCAGCTGTCTTTGAAAATCAATTCAATCTAATGTGGGAATACTTGCACCCCTCTATCACAACTATGAACATGCAGTTACTATAGTTCTACCTTGTATAACTGAATGACAGAGTTCATAGTTCTGGGAGCTGTTACTGCATTTTCATTAGTTAACATATCTTGGACTTCAAAATTTTAACTGGAATTTTGAATTTCATAGGTTGAAAGATCTAGTCTGTGGTGTAGTTTACCTCAGTTATTGATACACACTCTCAGAAGGAGCTTCATGTTAACTGGTTTGTTTGTCTGGTAGTAATATAAGGTTGGATTTAGTGGGAATTAAGCGGCTTGAACTGTGTGGATGAGTGTGTTGTTAAATTTTTGTAATTCTGTGTTGCGATATGCCTTTAATCAGATTTTTTTCTAGGGAAACTTGAGCTTCTAAATCACTTAGAGATAATTTTAAATAAAATCTCCTTTCTGTCTTCCACCACATCTCCTTTCATGTGTTTTCATTTCCCTGTTTGTCCTAGGGAGCAGGAAGAGACATTTTTGGTGCTGGGATCAGACTGGTTTCTGCTGTTCACACAGAGCTATGTGCACTCTAGCACAGTTGTGCTAGGAATCAAGCTACTTCTGTGCTTCCTCCAGAACCGTTTGCTGCTGAACAAATTCAAGGAGGGGATAGTGGCTGGGCGCTGGCTGGAAAACAGCTCTGTGGGGTTGAGTATTCTAATGGGTATGTGCTGGTTTAATGCTCCCAAGACAATCCCTTGACTCATCTCAGTGGTAGATCACTGAAGTAGGTGATAGGAGAATCCCCATGATCTCAGTAGACCAAGAATTGATATTACTTTCTAGAGCAAGCTTGTCCTAGTACTTCAGCTTTTCTATGCTGATGAGTAGAAAGCATTGCTTCTCCCTTACATGGTAGTTGGCATTTCTGATTAACATTTGCAGGGATATGGGCCTTTTTGTCTTGCATAAAATCAGGCTAGTTGATAAGCCTGTGAGGTGTTCAGATGTTAGCTTGTCCCCTGAAACCTTCTGTTTCCTTAAGATTTGTTCAGCTGGCTTTTTGATAACTAGACCTGTCGTTCTGAGAAAGGGAAGAGAAAGGAAGAATAATAATTCAGGGAGAACCTCCCGTAACAAAAGTGATAGTGGGAACAGTTGTTATCTGTCAATCTGAAGAAGTTTTGTAAACTGTTGATATTGCAGCCTAGCAGAGTACTGAATGGCCTGGGACATGGACAAATGAGGATAAAGTTGAGTCAGTAATCCTTCCTCTGATACGGCATTCATTTTTAGACACTTCCTCAGAATGTTTTCCTTTTCTTTTCCTTTAAAGATAATTTAAAAACTGATCCTCCAGTGCCTGACAATGGCTCCTTCTTGATTTTTGGGTTTTCTGTGTTGCAAAGATGTCTGACTGATCATGTCCACATCCCTGAGATCTACTTGCTTGTGGCAGGGCTCTTTCTGGCAACTCCACAGTCTGAACCACCTGAAGCAGCCAAGGTATGAAAAAAATAGTGGACAACCATGAAGCTGCTATTGCTTTACTACTTTGGCATTTTGTGGCCTATTCTGTGAGAGGATTCTCAGGCAAGTTAACTCTACTTGATTTTTGTGATAGTTAAAATTAGTCATTCATACTTTAAAAATAAAGTAGGATAACTGAGATTTAAGAAAATTTGTGTTCACAACAAACTTGTTCATGCAGGCGGGTATTAAATGCTATGTAACTACTATACTTTCGAAGGTAATTCAGATTAGCTTCCCTGTCTGTTCTTACATTGTCAAGACTCATTAAAATCTCAGAATTAATAATTCCCATCTCTTCTTGAAATATCTCTCCTCCTGTTGTAGAAAGATCTTGAGTCTATGTTGCAGTGGATCTTGCAGCACCACCTTAAGGAGAATGTCCTCAAAATTGGGTTGTGTGCAGAGGCAGCTGCTTTACTGCTGGAAATGGTTAGAGTCACTGTGGACAAGGTAAGCATTTTGTTGCAAGTACAGTGGAGTGTGAATGGCAGAATAAACTGCCTGAGAGTGTCAGATGTCAGTGGCAGTCTTCACCTGCAACTCCTAGCCTTCCTCAGCCCTCACAGGGCAACAGTGAGCATAATAGTGAGCAGGGACTTCAAACAGTCAGCACAGCTATTGGCCTGGTTATGTTACATAGCAGATGTTGTGATGGGCTCATGTTTAAAAGTGAACAGAGATGGATCTTACCCACAGCACTAACCATTTTGTTCATTCCTGATGATGAGGATATGCCACCTTTTTGATTCAGTGTATCTTCAGTCTACAAGCTGGGAGTTGGCTGCTTGTGCATTGCCTGAATTCTCTGTGGCCATGTCATGTTTGCTTAGTTGCTTAGGGATACCTGGAGAGGACCAAAGATGAGCTTATATGAGTGAGAAGAATGTTGCCTTGACTAGATGCGCATTTGTCTGTGTTCAGCCTATTGCAGATGCAGAAGCCTCCTGGGAGATTGCCTATCCAGGGAACGTTATCCAGTTTCTGTGCTTGGTCTATCACAGTTATACTCAAGACCCTGTGTGGCACTGTCCTGACTTCTTGAAAACTTTGGCTATGGTTGCTTTCCATTCTGGACCACCCAAGGTATGTCCATCTGGGCCAGGACAAGCCCTTCAGATCAGAGATGGTTTGCTAGGAAGAAAAATCAATTTAAAGGAGATTATGACTTAAAATGCATTGCTGTCTGCTTCCACAGGGAGGCTTTGAAGGCCTTTTGACTCCTGATGGTCCAGCCATTGCTGAAGGGAAAGGCTGTGTTGATGCCTCCTCTCTCCTGCTCCTACCACACCCTGCCAAGAAACAAGTGTGGGATTTTGTGCGAGTCCTCCTGATGGACAGTCTTCTCAGCATCCCAGCAAACAAACAAGGGCATCCACTTGAGCTGATTCTTGAGGTGTCTCTTGTATTCATCAGGCTTTGCTGCTATACCTTGCACTGGGGGTGGAAGGACAGGAGGTATCCTGCTAGCAGCCTAGTAAGAAAAGTGCTAATGATGACGAAGAGGTGTATTCAGTCAGCATTTTCGACAGTCTAGGATAAGGCTGGGATCACAGCTCTTAGAGAACATGCACTACATTCTGGCCAATCTGGACTGCCTGCTTAGTGGAACGGAATTCCTACCTTTTTAACAAGGAATAAAGGCCTACATTCATGTGAACTAAGAAAATGCTGCCTCTAGACAACAACAGAGGCATTTTTAGGGCAACATTTAATATTGAAGTAAGGCGTGAAAAAATTTCCCTTTTCCTTAGTAATACCTGCTTGTCATTAGAGCAGCCCTTGAATTTGTTGAGAATAGAAGACTTCACATAGAGCATTCCTGTGTACTGATTTTTGAGACAACAATTTCTTTTTAGTGCTCAAATAAACCAAAATCAACTGTCTCCACTTTTAGTACAGATTAATACAAGGTGTAGCAAATGAGCCTGGATTATGGATTTCAACCACTCAAAGCACTGGAAAGAGACAGAGCAGTCTGAAGAAAGGGAAAATATAAAATTTAGGCTTCTTCTCCAAACTGTCAAGAGTCCAGGTGTCCCAGATTGAGTTCTGATGCAGACTAAGCTTAGTAATACAAATAGTAATGAACATAAGCTTGACTGCAACTATCATGAGTTAAATCATGTTGCAGAGCAGCAGTTCCCTAAAGGTTTATACAATAACATCCCAAGGCTTGGTGCAGTTTAAAATAGAGGATGGCTCTTCTGACTGTCTGAATCCTGAGCCTTCCTAAATGGAGCTGAAATATCCTGAGGGCAAGATCTCCTGGGAACCACCTGTGAATCTATGTTCTGTCCCTGTGCAAAACTTTCTTTGTGTTTAGTGTGAAGAGGGCAACTATGCTGGCTATCAGCTAGAGAGTGTATACCTATGTAAGATTTCCTGTTTTCCCAACTAGGGTATGATTTTCTGCCATCTCATCTGCTGCCCAGTAACTGTCCACACATGCACTCTTGAGATGTGCCATGTTGCCTTTGCATGGAGGAGTACACCAGATCTTTGCATTTATGTGTTACTGTGGATTAGCTGTCACAGATAACTTCTCAGCTTGCAGCAGCTGTTTCATATGCCCACACCTAAGGCTAAAGTGTGCAAGTGAGATGGAGTAGTTGTCCTTGCTCTGTGCTGGTTTTCCCTTCCTCTTCCTAAGATGGTGCCTAGGTGTTTAAGGGAAATGTCGGGCATTTTTAATTATCTCAGATAGTACTGAGTGTCTCTTGGAATTTCTGCTTGCTTCTTTGAGGAAAACTTTTGCTGCATCTGAATCTTTGACAGGCATAATCTGCCAAAGATCCGATGAAATCAAAGGCCTTTTGAATAAAGGCTGAAAGTGAATTTGAGTCTGATTTCCTGGCTGGTTTTCTGCTGTACTAATACGTATATGGTCACTATATAGGCTTCTCCAGAGGATGCCACCAGTGAGCAGAAGAGACATTTTCAGACAAAAGTTTTGCTGTCTGCTATGGACATCTTCAGTGTTACTAGCCAAGGCGAGGGGAAAACAAGACCAAGAGGTGAGTGGTGAGAATCAGATCATTAGCTAGCTGGTATTTAGCATGTAGCTGTAATTGCTAGAAAGGTTTGGAAAGAGTAGCTAGAAGGACAGTCCAGCTCAGCAGGCTGGACTGTCCCTTTGCTCCTGCTATAGGCCAGTTTGCATAAATTACTATAGTTTTACTGTTTTTCTAGAAAGCCTCTTCACTTTTTTCTCTCTTTTTGAGAACAGACTCTGAACATTAAAAAGGGAGTACTTAAAAAGAAACCTAGGTTTATCCTTGAGTCCTTCTGTAAACAACCCTGATAACTTAGTTGTTGCTGCTCTCCTTTCTGAGTCATTAGTTGGACCAGTCCTTCATGATAGTATTTTAGTGAGATTGGTTCTGTCCTTAGGATGGAGCTGTCATTTCCAATCTGAGTAAGGTATTGTGGTGGGTTGACCCTGGCTGGACACCAGGTGCCCACCTAAGCCGTTCCATTACTCCCCCCCACCTCAGCTGGACAGGGGAGAGAAAATATAACAAAGGTCTAGTGGGTCGAGATAAGAACAGGGAGAGATCACTCAACCAATTACCGTCACGGGCTAAACAGACTTAACTTGGGGAAAACTAACTTAATTTATTGCCAATCAACCAGAGCAGGGTAATGAGAAATAAAACCAAATCTTGAAACACCTTCCCTCCACCCCTCCCTTCTTCCTGGGCACAGCTTCACTCCCAAATTCTCTACCTACCCCTCCCAGCGGCATAGGGGGATGGGGAATGGGGGTTGTGGTCAGTCCATCCCACATTGTCTCTGCCGCTTCATCCTCCTCAGGAAGAGGACTCCTCACACTCTTCCCCTGCTCCAGTGTGGGGTCCCTCCCATGGGAGACAGTTCTCCACAAGCTTCTCCAACATGGGTCCTTCCCACGGGCTGCAGTTCTTCACAAACTGCTCCAGCATATGTCCCTTCCATGGGATGCAGTCCTTCAGGAGCACACTGCTCCAGCGTGGGTCCCCTGTGGGGTCACAAGTCCTGCCAGAAAACCTGCTCCAGCCTGGGCTCCTCTCTCCACAGAACCACAGGTCCTGCCAGGAGCCTACTCCAGTGTGGGCTTCCCACGGGGTCACAGCCTCCTTCGGGCACCCACCTGCTCCGGCGTGGGGTCCTCTATGGGCTGCAGGTGGATATCTGCTCCACCATGGACCTCCCTGGGCTGCAGGGGGACAGCCTGCCTCACCATGGTCTTCCCCACTGGCTGCAGGGGAATCTCTGCTCCAATGCCTGGAGCACCTCCTCCCCCTCCTTCTTTACTGACCTTGGGGGCTGCAGGGTTGTTTCTCTTGCATGTTCTCACTCCTCTCTCCGCCTGCCATTTCTGTGTGCCCTGCAACTTTTTCCCTTCTTAAATATGTTATCACAGAGGTGTTACCACTATCGCTGATGGGCTCAGCCTTGGCTGGCGGCGTGTCTGTCTTAGAGCTGGCTGGCATTGGCTCTGTCAGACATAGGGGAAGCTTCCAGCAGCTTCTCACAGAAGCCATCCCTGTAACCTCCACCGCTACCAAAACCTTGCCACACAAACACAATACAGGTATTTCTGCTAGACCTAGAGTTTTCTTAGACATGTCTCAACTCTGAGACATTATGGCATAAGACTGTTCCTTCTCAGGCCGGGTAACCTCATATCTTGCATAGTTTTTTTGTATTTCAGCTTGTTTTGGAATAATCAACCCTCTTGTAATCTTTCCAGGGACCAGTGATCCTCATGGCACTTCAGAATCAACTGCATCTGTATCCATGATGAATATTGCTTATTTTGCTCAGAAGCTGGTTGAGAAGCTGAACAGCAGAATGTTTGCTGCTGACCCCAAGCAAATCCTGATCTTCACTTCCAAACAGATTATGGGGGTGAGTCACATGAAATTTTTTTCCAACTGTTACCAACATGTTCTAATGTTCTGTTTCACACTGAGGCTGTGATACCACAAATCTCAGGAAGATGGTTGTAAACCATTTAGTGATTTTGATTATTCCTATTTTCTTGCATGAGCACATAATGGCTCTAAATGACAATCAGAGCTAGATAGTGCAGCATAAAGAAGGGATAGTTAGCTCTTTTGTGCCACCGTCTGTTGGCCATGTACGTGTTGCTGAACAGGAATAAATTAATCTCTTCCACAATTCTGGGGACTTCAGCAGAAATACAGAAAAATTGGATTTGTATCCAACAGGTAGTTCAGGGGAATTTTGCTGAAATAAGTTTGCAACAGCTTAAATGAAGTGAGAGGATTGGATCACTGGGAGAGAGTTCTTTGAGCAAGCCAAGTACTCTGGTGTTTTGTGTTTTCACAGGTCTTAGAAAGCTCCGTTTCTCAAAAGGAAGTTTTCCTCGGTGCCCTGTACAGCTGTCTAAACAGAGCCATCCTATACTGCCTATCCAGACCACAACAATCGCTGCCTGAACAGTTTAACATCCTGAACACTCTCAATGTCCTACAGGAGCAGTGGGACATTATTTTTGCAAATTACAACTCAAATAACAATTTTGTCGTCTGCCTAATGTACTGCCTTTGCCAACTGAATTTGGGCAGGTATAAATGTTCATCTCAGCATAAAATTTGTTTACATCTCTGTGCTGTTATCTATGGGAGTGGGTGCAGAGGGGGAGATTTCACAAAACTTAGGCAATATCCATTTTGGGGAATTGCTAGAAGCTGAAATTGAGCTGGATTCAGCTAGACTAAGGACTTTGGATGTAATATATATACTGTATCCTAGCAAGCATTTAACCCATTGGGCTCAGAGCTCTGGGGGTTTAAAAGCACCATTCTGCTTTAAATAGGGCAAACCTTCAGCTCTGATTTGGTGTCTGTAGAAGTGGCAGAGTAAAGCCATTTGGGGAAAGAGGTTGTTTTCCTCATACACTTAAATGAAAAACAACATCAGAAATGTTTTGATGTAATTTTTTATCATTTAATTTGGAGGAGAGGAAGGTTAGTGATGTGCTCAGTATTCTGGAGGCAATGGATTGTCTTCCAGCAAGAAAGCGGAAGGGATAAACTGTTCTTCAAACAGAAGGCTATTTTTGCCTTGAATACTAGTGAGCAGAAAATTTCCTACCATCTCTCTTGCTCAAAGGCCAGCTAGTATGTGAGTTTGTGGATCTAGTAAGCAAGGCATAGTGGATGGTAACAACATAACACTTAATTCCACTTTTTTTCATTTTGGAAAGGGTGTTTCATTTCAGAGACACCCAGACAAGCTTGCATGTTTGTCTAAGCAGAACCCTTAAATTTGCACATAGGTTTAATTGCTACTCTTTATTAACCAAAACAGCTGTGTTGTATCTGTTTTATTCATCCAGCATTTCCAGCAGCTTACTCACTTTGGAGTAGTAACTGCAGTTAACAAGCTTGAACTGATTTCAGTGGGGTTGGCTCACAAGCCCATCATTAAAATGAGAATCTGGAAATCTTCCTGGGATGTAGGCTAGAATCACTCCACAAGCATGCAGGTGGCCACTCTCTGAGACATCTGCATGGGCTAATTTAGGGAGATGGTTTTTCTGATCCAGCAGCTATTGTTGTGTGGGTACATTTAAAAATATATATAAAACTGTGCATGGATCTTGTGAATCTTTCTGTTATCGTTATTGTTACCTGGATCTGAGCTGTAAAGTCCTGGTCATACTGAAGCTGGGAGTTTTGGCATTGGCTTGGATAGGGCTAGAATATCCATACCCACTCTGTTCGCTCTTCTTACAGGTGATGTATCAGAGGTACTCTTGCTAATCTAAGCTGAGGAGTTATTCTGGAAACTTTTTTTGTGAAAAGAAGCAAACATTGCCTTGTGCTTTATTCACTACAATGATGTTTGTTGTTTCAATGAAAACGTTCTGTGCTGCTTAGATGGTCTGAATTGAATCCATTAACACAATATCACATCAGAAATGAGCTGCGCTTCCTGAGGTCTTTTCTTGATCGTTCTTATTCCAGTCAGATAATAATTTCCAGGCCAAAACTGTTGAGATGGGGTAAGGATTGATTCTATGTATCAAGAGCAGAAACATTTTTAAAAAAATAAATTACAGAAGTGGTGTTGTTAGCCAAAAGCCAAACATAGCAAATCCAGGGAATCAGAACTGTGGTATTTTAAATAAAATCAGAAATTAAAATGGTAGCTTTGCATATCCAAGAGATTTGACTCTCCCATGTAGTAGTGCCTGTTTACAATTGACAGAACATAGTATCTTACTAGTGGCTATATATAATATATATATATTATCAACAGCACTTCTGTGACCAAGTCCAGGTTGTCTGGATGCCTTAACTAAGCCTGTTGCATTTATTGTATGCATTACTGCTGTGCTGAAATTCCTGGTGTCTTTTATCTACTGACTGGTAAATTATCTGACACACACCCCACCCCCAAAGCAGCACTAACTCTTTTTGGCCATGGTGATGCTCTCAACTGTAATCACATCTACATGATACTAATACCATGGTGCTAAAGATTGTGCCTTTTTTGTGCTGAATGCTTTATAAACTGAATGAACAATCATTGGTACAAAGAACTTAGTCTAAGTAAACAGTTCAGTTGTAGGGTATGGCAAGGCAGTGTTTCCCACATAATGGGAGATACCTCAAGTGAAGAAATTCAGAGCAAAGAGATGGCATACAGGATGCTCAGGGGAGGTGCAAGAAAGCTGGATGCAGTCTGGCTACATCAGTACAGCCCTATGTTCCAGCTAATTGAGGTGAATGGTAGATGCAAGTGCACTAAGAAGTGCAGGGATAAGTCATGTACAACAGAGTGATCCATAGGATCTTGATGACCACTCCTTGACTTTGAAAACCAGACTGGCAGTGGTTTAGTTCCCACTTCCTGTAAATCCTGCAATATCATGTGATTGGTGTAAGCCCTTGAGCCTGGGAATACTGATCTACTAAATGAATTGTGTAGGAGTGCATGTATAGAAATACCCTTAGGTTTTTCACTATCCTCAGTTTATTCTAAGTCTAGTTTCCTCACGTCCTCCCTTTTTTTTTTTTTTTGTCACAGCTGTTCAGAAGGTTTTGGGGTGGATGCAAAACCAAAGCTGGCTTCGTATCATCAAATTTTTCTTGTACCCAGTGAAGAGGAAAAGGGCAGTCTGCCTACTCCTGATGATGGTAATTTATGGCACATGTTGCCTTTGGCTTACAGTTCAGGAAAGTGTGTGGCATAAACAGTTATCAGCAGCTTGTGCAATTTCTACTTAATTGCCTCTTTGGTGTATAGGCACTGCAGGCACAGCATAGAGAAAGGAAAGTTGTGCTAAAAATCACTTGTGTTTGCATCATACCTTTTTATTCAAAATTCACACCCCACATCCTCAGGAATAATGAATATCAGTTTGGAGATCTCTTCCCTATGTTGTGGCCAGTATCCATGCCCAGATACATACTATTTGTAGCTCTATTTGTTTTTTCAAGGCCTATACAGAGCTTGTGTCTTTGTATTGTACGCAGGAAGAAACATTTTGCTCTTTTAAAGAAACAATGGAAATATTTTGGGCTGGATTCAATGTGGGGGCTGTCAGCTGAACCCCACAGCAGAGTGATGTTCTCTCTTTTTTTTTTTTTTTTTTTTAATATTTATTGGCTTGGATATGATGCAACCAAATAAGTCTGATTTGCAGGGAAATACAGCAAAACAGCTCGGCAAGTCCTTGTACAGCATACTCTTGCTGTGTCAAATTGTTTCACAACTTAGTTACCTTCCCCCCACTGTCTCTAACGATGTTTGGCAACCCAAAGGAATGTCCTTTATGTGCTCTGGCATTCTATATATGATAATAAGATCATCAAAATTCTGATGAGATGGTTTTCGAAGGCAGAAACCAGTTAGGATCATCTGTCACTCCTACTTGTTTCTTTCAGGGAGTTGAAATATAGTAAAAGAAATGTCCTGCTGTTTTCTGTATTAGATTAACTAGTCTGGCTCAGAACCTATGGAGGCAGTAGACAACACAGAGCAACTCCACTGACTCTAGCAGTTACTCTGGAGTAGTGCTGTTCCAAATGAGATATTTTTGCTTTATCTGCTGCTTGACTTGTTACACAAAAAATGATTCTTCATTTGTAGTTTCTTTTGTTTCCTAGTCCATCAGGAGATTCTGAGAACAGTAGAAATCATCTGGAAGCAGCTCATTACTCAGAGGCGGCAGGCTTTGGAGGACACTTACAAGATGGATCTTTCTGTAAAAGGAAATGACAAAGAAAGGGACATGAAGATAACAGAGATCACTCCTTTATGGGAAGAAATTATGACAAAAGCTTGGCAGCACTTGATAGGTCTGTTCTTTTATGGAACACTTGTAGTAAGCAAAGACATTGCAGTAAATGTAGTGCTTAATGGAAAGCCGCTGATTCCTTGGTTATACCCTTCCTCTGCACATCACCTGTTAGGTAAAGCAGATTCTCAGTTTATCTCATCCAGGTTTGTGATCTCTTTCTGTGTCATGCCCCAGCTCTTCTGTAATCACCTGGTAATGTTGTAGGGCTTCTGCCGTACTGCAAGAAACAGAAATCTCCTTAAACAATTGTATATTTGCTTGAAGCAGGGCATCCCAATATGTGCAGTGCTGCAGTGATTCAGAGTTCACATCTGTATAATGAAAATGATCAATGGCACACCTCTGTGAGGCTTTTAAATAAAGACTTGAGAAGTGTTCATTAGTTCAGTGCTTTTCTTATAAACTAAAGGACAATCCAGCTGGAGTGAGGCACTGCCATGTTGTCATGTCTTGTGTAACAGGAATACAAACCCTCTACCTTCCCACAGGCTCAACTTCAAGTTTTACAAGTTTTTATGTCTGTTCTGGCCCACAGCATCTGAAAAGAAGCTTCTCCAGAATAAAGCGGGGCCAGGCCCATCACAGAGCAAGCACAATTCCTGGAGTGAAAGCCTGTCTTCAGCTATCAGGTTGATGCCTGGCCGAAACACAAAGGAAATGACATGCAAATCTCAGGTAACTTCTGCTCTTTGTCTTTTCTGGCTCTGTCACCAGTCTGCCTTCTATATGGCTCTGCAGAGTTTGTCTGGACTTGGGAGTCTTCTGAGTATGTCTGTTGACATGTTCCATTGCAAACTAGACACCTATTGCAGTTAAGGATTCTTTTCTAGACTGCTAGAAATAATGACTAAGCAATAGTCGTTGATCTGAAGAACTTCGGCTGGCAGCCTTAACTTATAATGTATTAATGCATACTTTTTGCACTTGAAAGGAAAAACCTAAGCAACCCTTGTGTGTTTGTGCTCACAGGGCTCTGCTTGGGTCAGAACAAGGTGAGGAAATGCTGGCTTTGCTGCTGCTTTTGACTTACATCAGTTATGTAAACCTTGTCCTTCAGACACTGAATTAGTAGAAAGGATCAGGTATTACCATAATACTGTCCTTTCATTTTCTACTGAATATGAAGTATTAAAGGCCCAAATTTTAGTTTAGGCTCAAGAGATAAGGAGACAAGTGTTTATATAAACCAAGGATGAGTCTGGAGGGTATGCAGCATTCCTACCACCAGCAATGCAGCTGGACTATCTTTTGCATGTGTAAGCTCCTCCTTTGCTGAGAGTGAGGGCCATTTCCATGTTTTTGCTGGGCATATGTTGAGAATACAAATAAAAAGCACCAGTTAAGTGTGTTAGGGCTAGAGTAACCAGCTATATGGTAGGGCAGCAGTGCATTGACAGAATATTCAGGGCTTTGGACTGAGCTTGTGTTATTGCAGTGCTGATCATATTAAGGTCTTTTTTTCTCCTGCTGAGGAGACAGCGAGTCTGTTACAGCATCAGTTTAGGGAGTCTTAACCCTCTAGCCCAACCTGCAGCAGATTGCAACTTTATCTGCAGTGATGACTGGTTCACTTCCAGGTGTATTGATCAGGAAGGCTATGATACCCAAGTAATGTTTCTGGTAGTACCTTACTGAGCTGCAAGTTTTTTCTCAGCATGCCACAGCATTGTTCTCATTCCTTAAAATCACTTTGCTGCTTACAGAGTGAGCAAGTTCTTCCCAGGTACATATGTAGACTGTGATGTCATACTACAAGAGCATCAACTATTTGCCCTGGGGTCTGTTTAATTATTTTTTAAAATTAATTTTGATTATTACAGCTGATTACACCTCAGTGAGCAATGTAATTGATATTTGTAAATGTATCCCAAGGAACATTTTGTACAACATGCTTTTTGCTGTTGAAGGTTAAAAACTCCGTTATTGGTTTTTCCCTAAATATGCCCACATCATTAGTTCCTCCAGTGAAAAGGTTGCCATCTGGAAAAGGCAGCACGGAGACATTATTCAGGCACAAGTGCATGAAATTGGTGTTTCTGCATCTTCTGTCTCTCTTCTGCAAGGAAGCGGCTTGTAATTAAAGGAGCTGGGTTTGGAGGAAACATTACTCATTTGGTGTTATTCCTTATCATGTCAAGGACTGACAGCTCCACAGCTCTGATAAATTGTTCCTCTCAATAAGATACAAAGCTACAGTTCCAAATGTTCTTCTCCACTCTCTCTCTCTCCCCCTTTCTCCCTCCAGCCTATCTTTGAAAGAGTTTGATGCACTTTTCAGAGAAATGAAATCTAAGAGGAAGAAAATTAATTTCTTTGTTCCTCAACAGCCCTCTTTCTTCATACACTTCACGAGCAAGGTATAAGGTGGGATTTTCAGTGTCAAAGTTGGGAGCACAAGTTACATTAAAAATAAATGGTATTTGTGCTTCTAACTTGTTTTTTTGACCTCACTTTGGTAGTCACTTTAAAAAGGGCTGTAATGTGATTTTGTATCATTTGCTGTGTCTCAGGTATCTTCTGTATTGACCTGGGAAAAATCTTCAGATACTGGCCTCTGTCTTCACTACTGATAGTTATGGACCTGTGTCCTACAGTGACATGCACCTGGTTGAAACATTGAGATAAAAGGAAAAGTAGCATAGTGAGAGACAAAGCCTTTAAATCTTATAGTAAAATAACAATCTTTGCATTTACTGAGAGCTAAGCATGATTGTTCCTAACTGAGCAAAACTATTAAATTTGAGAAAAGTGCAGAAATTCAGCCAGGATTTCAAAGCTTTGCCCAGTAGAAAGAAGAAATGGGTTTATAATAAACAAAGAAGTTGAAGCGGTAGTTGCATTTGCTGCAGATGAAAAAAATAACCAAAAAAACCCAAACAAAACACCCCACTCAAAACTGTCAGCTTTTTCCCTGTTGTCATTTACAAGATAGCAGAGTGCTTTTGAGACCCAATCCTCAATCTGGAAAAAACCAACAAAATTCAAACTACTCAGTCCAGCAAAGGATCAGGCTCCATATTTCTGCTGTACTTTCACTCAGGATCACCAGCATCAGTGAAGCCAGTTCCCTGCTATTTGGTGGTAAATGTCAGAATTAGCAATCAAATACAGCTGTGTTTCCCCCATATTTCTGAATCTACTTTGCTATCTCATGCTCTGGGCTTTGTCTGGAAGGCATGATCGTTCAGAAAGGAGAGCGTGATCACATTTCTGGTAGTAGAATGGTGATCATCTGCTCTGGTAATTGCTATTTTGTGCTTTCTTGGAAGTCTGAGTAGCCATGCAGGAGCAAGAGGAGCACTGTACAAAGTCAGATTTTTTAATGCTTACAGGTGACACAGTTGGGTAAATTTGCCAGCAGGAGAGTCTGTAAGACTCTGAATACAGTGCCAAAGGTTTCCAAGTCATTGACTTTCCTGTTTCAAAGCAAGCTTCTAGATCTCTTGCTCTTTCTCCTTCTTTCCTCCCCCAGCCCCCTTCCCCCCAGTTTTGCTGTCAGAATCTAGGATATATATTTAATGTTTAGGTTAGCAATGACTGATTGTTTTTGTCATCTTCAGCAAGCTGCAAAAGCAGCAAGGGACCACTATAACAATCATATTTCAGTAAATTGTAAATCAGTCAACAGCTTCATACACCTTCAGAGAATGAAATAGAAAAGGTCTTTTTAATCCCAGTCTTCAGAAAGAAGAGATGAAGAGAGACCTAACTTGTAATTGCAAAACCGGAAACTTTACGGTAGGATTTTGGACAGCAAACACACTTGTGAAAACAGCTATAGATAAAGAGCCAGCATCTGACGTCCTTTGTGCTGGTTTTGTCACTCTGTTGCAAGAGAATTCCTCCTAGTTAAGTGATGGGAGAATGCAGCCTTTGAACTCTAAGGATTTTTGAGCAGTTTGATGGATAAATTGGTTTCTGATCTGCTGCCCTTAGTGTATGCAAGGTCACTGCAGAGCTAGCTGCAAAAAAAGCATTTAATGGTGTAGCTCTACAAATCAGAAAATACTAGATGCCAAGTGTGGCTTGACTGGGAGTGATTCATTTTTCTTTAGTTGGCCTTGTAGTAAGAGGCCATCTCTTGTGCTTACTTTTGTAAGCAACAGGCAGATTGGTAAACCTACAGCAAATCTGTAGAAGATAACTGCATCAGTGTGTCAGCAAGACCCTTCTTTGCCTCTGTGGATAACTTTCTGAAGTCAGGAGCTCCAAGAAAAGACCACTTGGCTGAGACTTAAGTCACTGTCAGACACAGAAACTACTTCAGTTCCTTTTGAAAATTCTTTCTCTTAATTTTTTACAACGTAATATTTTATTTATTTATACTGATCGCTAAGCAGTCTTGATGTACCTGCTGAAAAGAAACTGCAAGTTCATTAACTCATTTAGAAAAGTGAGTTGTATATCCTCATCTTATCATTGAGCACGAAGATGGTGATATGGCCAAGGACCACTTGAATTCTGCATAGTTTCCTAACAACAGATGCCCTTGGTTGAAAGTAATAGCAAATGTCTCTTGGGCAAGCTCCACTGAAAGTTGTCTGTCGAGTCCTGCCTCTATAGTTAGATTCCCAAGAGAAAGGAAGACAGCCTCTGAAATCTCTTCTAGGAGTTAATGTTTCTTTTGAATTCTGAGAAAGACTGAGGCATGTTTCAAACAATATGTTATTTCAAAGTCTTTAGGACTTTCTTTAGTTTTAGATTTACAGGAAATTTGTTTTTTTAGTTTTCTCATCTGTTTATTCACCAGGCTTCTCTTAGGCCAGCACCTGAAAGTGTTGTTGCTACAGAAAATTATTTGTTTGTTACACCAAGAACAAAAAATTTCACAGACAGCAAAAAATTTTACAGAATTGTTTCACATGTAACACTCATTCTTAAGATAAATATGGCTAGTATACCTAGTATCTCTAGTCATTCACCTGTGGTGGTAATGCATTATATTTTGAGAAGTATTTAAACATAGAATTTCCATTAACTTCAGTGGAAGCTTGAACTACAGGCTTAAATTCCTTCTGTGCTGGAAATGTATATCTCTACATCAACACTTACAGGAGGATTTTTTTATGTTTTGTACAGTGCTAGGACTTAATTACCTAGTACAAGTAGTAGCTGCATCACAGATAGAGAATTAGACCTGTCTGGGGCAGGGCTCTCACCCCACATGATTCCACCAGGAAAGAGCACTGGGGCTTCATTCACTCCTGGCTGTCAGTCTTGCTTCACACTCTTTGCAGCAATCTTTTACAGGTTGTGCATTAGGTTTGGGGGAAGAGGGAGAAATGACCTGTTTCAAATTAATATGTACAGATCATACTCACAAATTCTTGGGTGAGATGTCTGTGTGGAGAAGTCTGTGTTTTAGAGGGTAGTTTTAAACAAGGGTTTTCAAACAGAAGTGTTTGATTTTGAACTGGAAGGCTGATGATGTATTCCGAGGCTCTTGTCAGGGCATGGAAGACTCAGCCCCAGGACGTAAAATCAGCGTTAGCTCAAAATGCTGTATGTCAGTGGGCTTTGACTTCTGTAAGAAAGAAACTTTATCTCAAGTTGACAGACATGAATTTACATAGACTTGGCCATTATCATCCAAGATGTCAGTGGCAACACTAGCAGCTGAACCCAGAGCTAGTTAGTGGACCAGTGCCTTCAAATACTAGCTACTTCTTTCCTGC